TAAGTCCTGATAGGTATCAACTAAGTTAAGACGATGGCCATTTTCATAGCACAACATAATTCAGATCTCAAAACTCAGATGTCTCAAAACTTAGATGTTTGAAATCTTGGATCTCAGATCTCAAATGAGATCTCCCAAATATGAGACCTCTGTGACATCTTACCAAGGCTGAAATCACTGAGAGCTCTATTATATGAGACACCTTTGATATCTCTTTTGGGCTCTCCAATATGAGACCTCTATGAGATACAGTGAGGGAAAAAAGTATTTGATCCCCTGCTGATTTTGTACGTTTGCCCACTGACAAATAAATGATCAGTCTATAATTTTAATGGTTGGTTTATTTGAACAGTGAGAGACAGAATAACAACAAAAATCCAGAAAAACGCATGTCAAAAATGTTATAAATTGATTTGCATTTATGAGGGAAATAAGTATTTGACCCCCTCTCAATCAGAAAGATTTCTGGCTCCCAGGTGTCTTTGATACAGGTAACGAGCTGAGATTAGGAGTACACTCTTAAAGGGAGTGCTCCTAATCTCAGCTTGTTACCTGTATAAAAGACACGTGTCCACAGAAGCAATCATTCAATCAGATTCCAAACTCTCCACGATGGCCAAGACCAAAGAGCTCTCCAAGGATGTCAGGGACAAGATTGTAGACCTACACAAGGCTGGAATGGGCTACAAGACCATTGCCAAGCAGCTTGGTGAGAAGGTGACAACAGTTGGTGCGATTATTCGCAAATGGAAGAAACACAAAAGAACTATCAATCTCCCTCGGCCTGGGGCTCCATGCAAGATCTCACCTCGTGGAGCTGCAATGATCATGAGAACGGTGAGAAATCAGCCCAGAACTACACGGGAGGATCTTGTCAATGGTCTCAAGGCAGCTGGGACCATAGTCACCAAGAAAACAATTAGTAACACACTACGCCGTGAAGGACTGAAATCCTGCAGCGCCCGCAAGGTCCCCCTGCTCAAGAAAGCACATATACATGCCCGTCTGAAGTTTGCCAATGAACATCTCAATGATTCAAAGGACAACTGGGTGAAAGTGTTGTGGTCAGATGAGACCAAAATGGAGCTCTTTGGCATCAACTCAACTCGCCGTGTTTGGAGGAGGAGGAATGCTGCCTATGACCCCAAGAACACCATCCCCACCATCAAACATGGAGGTGGAAACATTATGCTTTGGGGGTGTTTTCTGCTAAGGGGACAGGACAACTTCACCGCATCAAAGGGACGATGGACGGGGCCATGTACCGTCAAATCTTGGGTGAGAACCTCCTTCCCTCAGCCAGGGCATTGAAAATGGGTCGTGGATGGGTATTCCAGCATGACAATGACCCAAACACACGACCAAGACAACAAAGGAGTGGCTCAAGAAGAAGCACATTCAGGTCCTGGAGTGGCCTAGCCAGTCTCCAGACCTTAATCCCATAGAAAATCTGTGGAGGGAGCTGAAGGTTCGAGTTGCCAAACGTCAGCCTCGAAACCTTAATGGCTTGGAGATCTGCAAAGAGGAGTGGGACAAAATCCCTCCTGAGATGTGTGCAAACCTGGTGGTCAACTACAAGAAACGTCTGACCTCTGTGATTGCCAACAAGGGTTTTGCCACCAAGTATTAAGTCGTGTTTTTCAGAGGGGTCAAATACTTATTTCCCTCATTAAAATGCAAATCAATTTATAACATTTTTGACATGCGTTTTTCTGTATTTTGTTGTTGTTGTTATTCTGTCTCTCACTGTTCAAATAAACCTACCATTAAAATTATAGACTGATCATTTTTTTGTCAGTGGGCAAACGTACAAAATCAGCAGGGGATCAAATACTTTTTTCCCTCACTGTATGAGATCTCAACTCTCAGCTATGGAAGTGCGTATCCATTTAGTTCTCACCGATTACTTATACGTACCCCAGAAATCCATTAATTTCTCACGAATCAATTAGTCGAACAATTTACTCTCGATTATGGAAAATAAGAATCGCGTTTACTGAATGTAGAGGAGTTGGGAGGAGACGAATCGGACACCGGTCTCGCACGGGTCTCAGAATGCCACGACCACCCGCTGCCTGACCCGTACTTGTCAACCCCTTATCAGTGCCCTACCTTATTACAGACCAATTCAGACCTGATTGGTTACCCCGTGCCATTATGAATCTCAACGTTCTTCTTACAAAGTCCCGTCACAATGGAGAAACACAAATAGACGAACAACATTTTTTTATTCTAGATTTGAAGCTTTCGTGACTGCAAGGATCCATACACAAAAATCACGACGTTTCGGCCACAACACAAGCGGCCTTCATCAGGTGAAGGGACCAGACTGTCTCGAGGAGAGCGCTGGAGTGAAACACAGCCAAGCTCAGACCGCGACCTTTAAGCTGTGTGAGAGTAATTAAGGTGCCTTGACAAAGGAATTAGCATGAAAATTTGCATTTTAATAGGCGCACTTAGCATGATGAAAGGTAGGGAGGGGGTCGACCTGTGCAGGCTGGCGAGGGGGCACGGCAGCGTCCACATGCTGGTGGTGTGAAAAGGGGATTTTAAGAAGCTGCGAAAGTTTGGGGTACCACTACTTGAAAAATATACTGTACCATTGAAAAATTTGTTTAAAGTTTGGTTCGATTTAGAACACCTTTCCAATGGTTCCTTAATTTGAAACCATCTTCTCGGTTGAAATTGTCTGTTTGTAGATCTGAATTGCCTCGTGAACAAATCTCCGATAAAAACCCGTGGGTTTGCAAAGAACCTTGGTATCGGAGAAAATTATATCGTTATCACCCACAGCGTTGTAACAGTGATCAGCTGCGGCAGAATAATTCGTTCTGCCGTGTTACAAATCTGAATTGTGCTCGCGAATTCGGTCAGAGACATGTCGCTTCGTCTCCCCGATACAGCAATCACAATACGGGCAAACATTTTTTGCCCGTATTGAAACGGCTGTACACCGTACGGACCTGAAAACTCAATTTCCCTGGACCAGAAAACGGGTAACCCGTATGGGTTGACGGGAATGTTGACCGCTCCTCATGACCCGCCCCTACTGGATATCTGTGAAAAAAGCGTTTCATAGCTCATCGCATTTCTTCAGTCTAAATAACGGGAGGCCTGGCACGTGTGTTATGCTGGTGAGTCGTGTCTCTCTGCTGCAGGTGCGGTGTGTAAACATCGCCACTAGGAAGACGAAAGGCGATCGGGCCTGGAGCTGACCGCCCAACCGCCTCGCGTGCCGTCCCGGCCTTCATAGTTGCCTCTCGCTCACTGCACTTGCCCCAGCACAGGCTGTTGAGGCTATACGAGGGGATCTTTGTCTTTGCTCCTGAGTAAGTGAACCTCGCTTCACACACGTCCACACCCTTACAGGCGACACACGTGATGGTGAAGGTACTGACACCTGCCCTTTAACGAAACCCCCACGCTTCTCCATTCGAATAATCGGTCATTCGGCCAAAGTAATCGCGATTACTCAATGCGGGTAATCCCTCAATTTACGAACGTCCGGTTTACGAAAACGCAATAAAAATGTATGTCCACGTAACGACTTTGAATTTCCGCGTGAAGGAAATGTGACCTGTGCACGCACCACGCGATCATCGAACAAGAAGCAGCCGGAAGGCTGCGGCGTCATCCAACAGCGGACAGCGTCACGGTGTCCCTGCAGTGCAGCGGTGTCGCCTCCACGTCGCCTTGCCAGTCACGACAACATGCAGTAGAGCTCTTGGGGAGTTCCCCGAAAAGGCTTAAGAGAAACGCGGAAGGTCGTGAAAGCGGGTGATTGACGTGCAAGGGCAGTTCCTTCCAGTGAAGAGGGGCGAGGAGAGAGAAAGAGCAAAACCAAGACTGTGCACACGATGTGGTAACACCACGCACCACTGCCCCCTTGCCTACTGTGAAGCGCACGGGGGAAGGCCGCCTCGCCCCCCTCCCCCCCGACCTTTGCCTCATCCTTGACCGGCTGCGCGCCACCACTCGTTCGTGAACGCAGCCGCGCCCTACCGACACCGCGCAGCTGTGCGCCCCATTCACCGGCGCACGAGACGGCAACAGCTGCGTTGTTGTCGCGCGCACACGGACGCACGCACGCGCACGCACGAGCACGCACGCGGTCTCTCGCTCGCCACTCGCACGTGCGCGCGGCGAGGCTCGCGTCCCACTTGTTGGTGCTGTTGTTTTGCGTGGCTCCTACCGCGGTGGCGACGAGACGCGTGCTGTGTTCTTCCTGTACGTTGATCTTCTTACGCACCGCACGCAGCCAACCGCGCTAGATATGGTGCCGGCGGGTGAGGATAACAAACGAAACACAAGCAGTTCTAAAAAAACGAGTTTTCAATCTCAGATTTAAAATTGTGTAGTGACTTGTAACGTCACTACCATGCGGACCGACACGCGCGCGCGCATGACGTCACTACGGGTGCATGCGGGAATGACGTCACAGCCGGGTCGGGGGGGTCTGGAGGCCGTGGGTCAGTACCGCGGGGGTTGCGTGAGGCCGTGGCGCTCTGGCTGAACCTGGCTGGGATGAAGACGCCTCGTGAAGGGATGAGTCAAGCCTCAATCAGTAGCTCTCCTGGCTTGGTCACGCAAGTCGTATCAGAGTGTCAGTGTTAGCGAGTGTTAGCAAGCGTCAGTGTGTGCTAGCGATACGTCGATGGTCACCACCCTATGTGCAGTGTTATCACATGTTGAGTAATAAATAGTGTTGCCTCCCAAATTCGGTGTGTGCGCCTCTATCGAACCATTTCAATTGCATAGCTCCAGTGGCGTCCTAATATCGGAAGGAAGAGCGTCTGAGACGACGTCAGAAGCGCACCTGCAAGCGCGCGATACACGCAGTAACCGCCTTTGATAGTTAACCACCAAAAGCTGCTGCTGCGAGTATGACCGGAGTGGACGTGACGGTGGTGGGGCGTCTCTGCCGCTCACACGGAGTGGACGTGGTGGAGCGTCTCTGCCGCTCACACGCGCAACGCCTTTCTCGCAGTACTCCCATCGCTGTTCCCCAATGGGAGCTTGCGCCAGACGTCATAACGGAACCACGCAGCCCCGCGCGTTGACCAATCAGGACACGACGCGTCTTGAGCAGGTGCGTGGGCGCGCGGCGTGGATTCACACGGCCCCCGCCACTCGAATGTGGAATTTCCGAGTCTTTCATTTCGAGTGTGCAACACTTGCTCACGGCGGCCACTGGTGATTCTGCTCACTGTACAGAGAGGCGAGGGCCAGAATACAGGACGGGCCTTGCCTAGGCGTCGTGCCCCATGCCACTTAGCGGTTGCATTGCATTCGTGTACAGCAGGGGTGTCCAAACTTTTTTTCTCCGAGGGCGACATACAGAAAAATATACGAAGGATTGGGCCACTCACTAGACGTGAGGTATACTGCCTCACTTCTCATGCACTAATATTGTCAAAATCAAATGCAGGTAAATTACGTTTGATTATTGAACATGTTTGAAGAAAAAAAGCCTCCATAGCTCTTCATTAGTAGATTTACATTTTATTTTTTACAAAAAGGTTGGCAGGTCATTCTCTCAGTGACAGCCTCAGATTGGTTCTTAGGGTGCTGATCCCCCTTCATTGTCCATATGAAGGGAGAGACAAGAAGAGAAATAGGGGATGTGGATATTTCAAGCTTATTACACAAATACATTATTGGGCTTGTTAACACATCAACTAACGTTTGTTAAAAAAAATTGTCATCAACTTTAATTGACTGAATTTATTAAGTAATTGGGCTTATTAACAAATGAAAACGATGTGTATATTTTTAACTCACCTGTAATGGGAAGAATGTTGCGCTCAGTGGGAGCAGTGATGCTGCGCTTTGGTGTGAAGGATAGCTGTCAGGTCAGGAGTAAGTTTGGTGGTTGAGATGCGAAGGACGTCACGGAGATGGCTGTCGGTCGTTCTGGTTCTCAGCCTGCTTTTGTTCAGCGTTAACAGAGAGAATGTCTGCTCACATATGTATGTTGAGCCGAACAGACTCATCATTCGTTTTGCATGGCGTCTCATCAGAGGAAACTTGGCCTTTTCCAAACTCCGGTAGAAGTCAGGTAGGGAGAGAAGCTGATGCTGATTCTTCAGAGAATCATCACACTGAATTTCGATCAGTTCTAATTGCAGACTCTCCTCCACTTCTTTTACATCCAATGAAAACGGAGCCGCAAACAGTGTGATTTCCTTCTCAATGACAGAAAAATCTTGGAAGCGCTGACTGAATTCTGTCATGAGAGATGTGATCACAGACACATATTATCCCCTTTTTGCAGAGAGCTTGGCATTTGGAAATGCGCATTGATTTCGGTCAGCGTGGGGAAGTGCTCTACATTGAAGTTGCGCAGTTGTGACTCGAAGAGACGGAGCTTCGCACGGAATGCTTTCATGTGCACATACAGCTGTGGTACCAGCTGCTCTTTGCCTTGTAGTCTCTTGTTCGGGGTGTTGAGATGATCAGTGAGATCAACTAAAAAAGCCAGGCCTGCCAACCATAAAGGGTCACTGATCTCATGGAGAGGTCTGCCCTTTTCTTTCAAAAACTTGTCAATATTTGATCTCAGGGAATAAAACCGCTGCAGCACGGAGCCGCGACTGAGCCAGCGCACTTCAGAATGGTAGAGTAGGTCCCCGTATTCAGCATTGACATAAGAGAGGAACGCTTGACATTCTCTGTGGTAAAGCCCTCGGGCCATAATTTTTTGACATTTTTCACAACTGTGTTCATCGCCAAGCTGGATTATCTTGGCACAGAGGGCTTCTTGGTAGATGATACAGTGCATTTTAACAGCCTCACCTCCGCTCTCCTGCACCTTGGCACTCACCATAGAAGCCATTCCTTTGCGCTCGCCTGTCATTGCTGGAGCCCCATCCGTTGTAATTCCACACAGCTTGTTCCATTTAAGTCCAGCCTGGTCAATTGCATCTGACACAGCTTCAAAACATGTCCCTCCCAGTTGTTGTCCCCTTTAGACTCCGAAGATCAAGCAGTTCCTCCGTAATGCAAAAATTATCATCAACGCCCCGCAAAAAAATTAACGGCCGTGCAGTGTCCGTGGCATCTGTGCTCTCATCCCATGCAATCGAGTAAAAATCGAAAGCACAAGCTTTATCTGACACTTGCTGTTTTAAGTTAGCCGACAAGTCTTCAATTCGCCGCACAACCTTATTTCTGGACATACTAACATCATTGAAATCCTGCATTTTCTCCAGGCACATTCCCACGACTTTAGTGAGGCACTGTTTAATGAAGTCACCGTCTGAGAAAGGTTTCCCGTGTAGGGCAATGAGTTGAGCTACTTCATTGCTGGCTATTGTTGCATTTTCTTGAGCTTTGTTAGCACGGAAAAAAACCCTGCTGCTGCGTTAGCAGGCTAGCTTGCCATTTGCTTTACCTTCTCTCTCCGCTCGGCGCCAGTGTAGGACGTGAAGGTCTGATGTTTCGTTTCATAATGCCGTCGTACATTGTACTCTTTAATCACGGCAACACTCTCATTACAAATCAAACAAACACACTTTCCCTTGGTTTCTATGAAAAAAAATTCATTTTTCCACCGAGTCTGAAATTTTCTGCACTCGCTTGCAATCTTGCGTCTCTTCAGTTCCGGCATTTCTGGTGACCCTGAGCAAATGTTTTCTTCGATTGCTTGCTTTGTGGAGACGCTGCCTTGTTCAAGACAATAGCGCCATCTAGTGTTTAAATTAAGAAATGCAATACAGTGGGCCATAGTCCATTATATTTTTAAACTTTTATACGGGCCAATTAAAAATGGATGGCGGGCCGCAGTTGGCCTGCGGGCCGTAGTTTGGACACCCCTGGTGTACAGTAATATTGTCGGAAAAAATATTTAATTGCACCAATAGGGGTTCTACCTCTTTTCCCACCTGCCCTTCTACCGAGTAATGCTGGTCATAAATTCAACCCATATTGTTAATTTCCAAATCTGGAATCTTGCCAAATTATGTTTAGAATCATATGTAATGCATACCTGTCAACCCATACGGTTTACCTGTATTCTTGTACAGGGAAATAGAGTTTTCAGGTCCATATGGCGTACAGCCGTTTCAATACGGGCAAAACTAATTTTGTATGTTTATGTTTCTACCCTTATGATGGGACTTTGTAGGATGAACGTTGAGATTTATAAGGACACGGGGTGACCAATAAGGTATGAATTGGTCTGTAATAAGGTAGGCACTGATAAGGGGTTGACAGGTATGGTAATCTTGATTTGAATCTTTCGTGACTGCAGGAATCCATACTCTTTGGTTCTTTTGGTAATGTCATGGAGGTATGAAATAAAATAAATCACGACGTTTCGGGCGCAACACAAGCGTCCATCATCAGGTGGGAAAGCATAGTCTGCTGCTGAGGCAGACTGTTTTAAAAGGTTTGAAATGGGTGTAGCCCTAGGGTTATAAAGAAGTGACCGGGGCTAGTGATGTTAATGTGAGAAATTATCATGTAACTGTAATATAGGAGAGCGGCCTCCTCGACGAGGTCATGGAAGTGGCTATGTTAATGTGAGAGATTAGCATGTTAATGTAAGAACGAAGAGTGGTGCAATCCAAAGACACGAGAGTGCAATCCAAAGGACATGTGAGCATGAGAGATCTAAGAGAGAGAGGCATAGTACATTCTACAAACAAAATGAGGGTACCCAAATGGGTTCTCCCTTATCGCCAGTGGTAGTGAATGTTTTCACGGAGAAATTTGAGACAGATGCCATCCAGACATCCACCCTACGTCCTTGTGGAAGAGATACGTAGATGACACGTTCGTCATCTGGCCACATGGCCTGCCAACACTGAACCAATTTCTCAACCACATCAATTCCATACACCTGTCTATAAAATTCACCATGGAAGTGGAAAAGGATGGCAAGCTACTATTCCTGGATGTTTTGATCGAGAAGAGACCTGATGGCTCGTTGGGACATTCGGTCTACAGGAAAGCCACCCACATGGATGCCTATCTAAAGTCTGACTCCCACCACCATCCAGCCCAGAAGAATTCCCTCATCAAAGTACTACATTATAGGGCCCGTTCATCTCCGACCAGCACCACCTAGCTAGTGAGTTGGAGCACGTACATCAAGCTCTCAGGATGAACGGATACTCGGACCGTACGATCCGCAAAGCTGCCTCCCCAGCCATGGGGAGACAACCTTCTGAGGATCCAACCAAAACCATCACTTTACCATACATAACAGGGGTTACCAAAAATATTTCCAAAATCTTAAAGAAACACAAGATCCAGGTTCGTTTCAACACAGTACACAGAATCCGTGATTTAATCCCATCTGTAAAGGATGTGATTCCTGACATGCAATACCCTGGTGTCTACAAACTGAGTTGTGGTTGTGCTGATTTTGTATGTTTGCCCACTGACAAAGAAGCAGTCTATAATTTTAATGGTACGTTTATATGAACAGTGAGAGACAGAATAACAACAACAAATCCATAAAAGACGCATGTCAAAAATGTTATAAATTGATTTGCATTTTAATGAGGGAAATTAGTATTTGACCCCTCTGCAAAACATGACTTAGTACTTGGTGGCAAAACCCTTGTTGGCAATCACATAGGTCAGACGTTTCCTGTAGTTGGTCACCAGGTTTTCACACATCTCAGGAGGGATTTTGTCTCACTCCTCTTTGCAGATCTCCAAGTCATTAAGGTTTCGAGGCTGACGTTTGCAACTCGAACCTTCAGCTCCCTCCACAGATTTTTAATGGGATTAAGGTCTGGAGATTGGCTAGGCCACTCTAGGACCTTAATGTGCTTCTTGTTGAGCCACTCCTTTGTTGCCTTGGCCTTGTGTTTTGGGTCATTATCATGCAGGAATACCCATCCACGACCCATTTTCAATGCCCTAGCTGAGGGAAGGAGGTTCTCACCCAAGATTTGACGGTACATGGCCCCGTCCATCGTCCCTTTGATGTGGTGAAGTTGTCCTGTCCCCTTAGCAGAAAAACACCCCCAAAGCATAATGTTTCCACCTCCATGTTTGACGGTGGGGATGGTGTTCTTGGGGTCATAGGCAGCATTCCTCCTCCAAACACGGCGAGTTGAGTTGATGCCAAAGAGCTACATTTTGGTGTCATCTGACCACAACACTTTCACCCAGTTGTCCTCTGAATCATTCAGATGTTCATTGGCAAACTTCAGACGGGCATGTATATGTGCTTTCTTGAGCATGGGGACCTTGCGGGCGCTGCAGGATTTCAGTCCTTCACGGCGTAGTGTGTTACCAATTGTTTACTTGGTGACTATGGTCCCAGCTGCCATGTAGTTCTGGGCTGATTCCTCACTGTTCTCATGATCATTGCAACTCCACGAGGTGAGATCTTGCATGGAGCCCCAGGGAAAGTGACAGTTCTTTTGTTTTTCTTCCATTTGCAAATAATCGCACAAACTGTTGTCTCCTTCTCACAAAGCTGCTTGGCAATGGTCTTGTAGCCCATTCCAGCCTTGTGTAGGTCTACAATCTTGTCCCTGACATGGTCTTGGCCATGGTGGAGAGTTTGGAATCTGATTAATTGATTGCTTCTGTGGACAGGTGTCTTTTATACAGGTAACAAGCTGAGATTAGGAGCACTCCCTTTCAGAGTGTGCTCCTAATCTCAACTCGTTACCTGTATAAAAGACATCTGGGAGCCAGAAATCTTTCTGATTGAGAGGGGGTCAAATACTTATTTCCCTCATAAAAATGCAAATCAATTTATAACATTTTTGACATGCGTTTTTCTGGATTTTTTTGTTGTTATTCTGTCTCTCACTGTTCAAAGAAACCTACCATTAAATTTATAGACTGATCATTTCTTTGTCAGTGGGCAAACGTACAAAATCAGCAGGGGATCAAATACTTTTTTCCCTCTGTATATGTTTGAAATCTTGGATATCAGATCTCAAATGAGATCTCCCAAATATGAGACCTCTGTGACATCTTACCAATGCTGAAATCACTGAGAGCTCTCCAATATGAGACACCTTTGATATCTCTTTTAGGCTCTCAAATATGAGACCTCTATGAGATATGAGATCTCAACTCTCAGCTATGGAAGTGCGTATCCATTTAGTTCTCACCGATTACTTATAAGTACCCCAGAAATCGATTAATTTCTCACGAATCAATTAGTCGAACAATTTACTCTGGATTATGGAAATAAGAATCGCGTTTACTGACTGTAGAGAAGTTGGGAGGAGACGAATCGGACACCGGTCTCGCATGGGTTTCAGAATGCCACGACCACCCGCTCCCTGACCCGTACTTGTCAACCCCTTATCAGTGCCCTACCTTAGTGACTTGGAGAAGATCTGCAAAGAGGAGTGAGACAAAATCGCTCCTGAGATGTGTGCAAACCTGGTGGCCAACTACAAGAAACGTCTGACCTATGTGATTGCCAACAAGGGTTTTGCCACCAAGTACTAAGTCATGTTTTGCAGAGGGGTCAAATACTTAATAAAGTATTAAAGCTTTCGTGACTGCATAACATTACTCATTGTTTTTTTCGGTAAAGTCACGTATGTAGAAATACAAGAAAATTATATTCAAACAAAAAACAATCACGACGTTTCGATCACAATGCAAGCGATCTTCATCAGGTGTCAAGAACAAATCACGGAGGTAAATACAACAAAAAGATGAGAGACGAGAATTCAACAAACCTGAAAAAACATTATGTGAAGCACATCCAGTCAGGTCAACAACACAGTTAGACACTTCCTGGCAGACCACGAATTTCAGAAGAGTGTTAAATTTCGTGTTCAACCTTTGGATTGCACATACCAGCATAGATAGAATGAAAAATACGAGGTACACGGTCAGTAGAAATACATATATAAGTTCACCAAGAGGTAAGGAGGGAGGAAAGACGGCCAGCGAGGCAGAGAGAGGGGGGGGGGGCGGAGGGATGAACAGAAGCTTAAATAGGAAATACGGTTGGAGGGGGGGAGGGGCCAGAGCGAGAGCGGCAGCTCAAACACGCACATTTTACACATACAAAACGGTAGCTCAAAAAAGGACGACCTCTTGTAAATACAAAATGGCAGCTCAAAAAATGACCACCTCTTGTAAATACAAAACGGCAGCTCAAAAAAGGGTACATCTTACACATAATTACAATGGTAACTTCCCCGTAGAAGTGTGATAATAAAGTATTAAAGCTTTTGTGACTGCATAAAATTATTCATTGTTTTTTTCGGTAAAGTCACGTATGTAGAAATACAATAAAATTCTATTTTTAAAAATCACGACGTTTCGATCACAACGCAAGCGATCTTCATCAGGTGTCAAGAACAAATCACGGAGGTAAATACAACAAAAAGATGAGAGACGAGAATTCAACAAACCTTAACAAACATTATGTGAAGCACATCCAGTCAGGCCAACAACACAGTTAGACACTTCCTGGCGGACCACGAATTTCAGAAGTGTTAAATTTCGTGTTCAACCTTTGGATTGCACATACCAGCATAGATAAAAAAATACGAGGTACACGGTCAGTAGAAATACATATACAAGTCCACCAAGAGGTAAGGAGGGAGGACAAACATACAAAATCAGCAGGGGATCAAATACTTTTTTCCCTCACTGTACATTGGGGAAACGAAACGACATGTCTCGGACCGCGTTCGTTAACACAAGGCAGATCTGAAACACGGTAGGACCAATACCTCTGCCGTTGCTGATCATTGTTTTAACGCTGTGGGCTCACACGAAATTTAGTTTTCTAAGACGGAGGTACTCTGCAAACCTACCGGCTACCTTCAGAGATTTGTTCATGAAGCCATCACATTGTAAGCGCCGAGGGGTCTGGGGGCCCTAGTGGTGAGCTCACATTTTAAACACCAAGGGGCCCGGGGGCCCTCACATTGTAAGCGCTGAGGGGTCTGGGGGGCCCTAGTCGTTAGCTCACGCTATAAGCACCCAGGGGCCTAGTGGTCAGCTTTCGCTGTGCACACTGAGGGCCCTGGTGTTCAACTTCTTTCGCAAGTCTTGGGCCACGCACCGCGCCCGGCCTGAGGGTTGGAGGCCCCCTGGCAGTCCGAGGCCCCGGGGCACTGGCCCCACTGGCCCAATCCATAATCCAGCCTTGCTTGGGATTTCCTGTTCCCAGTCACACTAGATCATGGTTGCAAGGTGAGCAGTTAAACTGATAATCGTTGGACTCGCTAGACCCTGTTCCTCCGGTTCATATTCACCCTAAAACTCCGGATCATTGTCAGAAGGTAAGTTGATTGTAACTTTAAATCCTGGGGACTCACTGAGCACTCTCCCCAGTTACTCCGGTATCTCTGCTACCCGGATCACTGTACTGTGTCTTCCTGTATCTATGTGTATATCTGTGTCTCTTCATATCTTCCTGTGTGGATCTGTGTCTCCCTGTCCCTCTCTGTGCATTTCCTGGTCTCACTCAGACTTCGTGTCTCTGTATTACAATGTCTCTGTCCCACTGTCTCACTCAGACGCAATTCAGCAAGATAATTGAGAAAATTATATTCCCAAAAATCTAGACTCCCAGCGCGTACTCATCGTAAACTGCGTTGAGCGGATCAGAGTGGAGAATAGTCAAGAGAGCAGCTCTTCGTTGTTGAGGAAACATATCTGAAGCAGGGTGTCCAGGCAAAGACTTGCCAGCCACATGGTGAACAGGTCATGCCACAGCATGTTTAATGGTTTTCTTGGAGCGCTCGGCTAGACGACCAGCCCTCCACTTGCTCTGGGGTGAGGATCGCTCCTTCACTACTCTTTTCAGCTATCTAGAGGCACCTGCCTCACTGGTGAGTATTCCAACTTTATTATTTCCCAGGTACTACCAGCCCAGGGAGCACCACGCTCCCCACGCAATGCCCCCTACCTGCTCCAATGCTCGAATGTTTTTACTCCTCCCTGCTCTATGCCGGAATGAGGTGGAGCACCAGACCCCGCCTGTCGACCATTCGCGGTTGACCGTGAGATTCCTGTACATATCGTAACTGTACTGCTCATGTTGATGTTGCTGCAGAAGAACACACGCACCATCTTGTCTCTATCTTGTCTCCCAAGCGGCCTATGGCGGGTTCCAGTGAGGAGGCAGTGAGGTTCAGGCACACGATATTTCTTCCTGTAGTGCACAGTACTGTACACTACATCACTTATTTTAATTCTACACATTTATGTTATATTTAAAACTAGAAAATATGAATCATGTTTAACATTCAAAGTACTTTCTGTTTCGTGTTTTCGTTGATCTAGGGAAACATAAAACAAAAGGAGGGGGTGGCGGATAACGAACCGTGAACCAAACCCTAGTTTTCCCATATGCCTTTGAGTTTGTGGATCGCGGATTTGCAGATTGCGGCTATTTTGAAGAACATAACCCCAGTGATGGGCAAGGGTTTGCTGTAGTTAGTTCAACGTGCCCATCGGGTGACGCCACTTCCTATATAGTGAGCTCAATGTGCCCATCTCATGATGCTACGCTTTGCTGTACTGTTTCGTGAGTTGCAGATGCCCCTTTCCGCAGAAGAGGTTGGACTGTCTGGGTTCGTGGTGGTGGAGGTCATGGAAGGAATTTCGGAGGCAGTGCACTTGCGCAGCAGTGGTCACGGTGGGTTAGAGACAGTGGGGGTGGGGCAGATTCACGGCCACAACTAAAATCCCCCTTAGAGCAGTGGAGCTAATATAAGATTGCAAATGGCTCGTGATAGGAAGCTTTTCGAGTTCAAATTCTGGTTGCAGATGGACCCTGCCCGTCATCTTATGGGGAACAAAACTATAAACTTTTACCAGATATGGCCTGGTAACATAAAAAAAGCTATATAGCTCTTTTACAGAAGCGACCTGGCCGCAAATGATAGCTCAACGAAATGGCTTATCAAGTGGAAATAAGCCGAATACTCTAAATTGTTCTTAACCTCGAGTGCAGGCACACCCCCTGTGGGTGTGAGGTACCCTTTCTGGAGGTGCGAAACATGGCCAGATTTTTTTAAAAGGTAAATAATCAAAAACACAAATTAAGCATGGGCACGTAAGTGCAACTACTTTGTTTCATCAAACCTATGTATTAGCATTATACATGTATAGTGTACTAATTCAGAGACACTTGTAGGAGGCACTCTCTCTGTCTCATTTATTCTGGCATTTACAGCCATAAGGGATAACTACATACCGGGTCAGAACAGCCAACATGCTTCCAGGCCCACAGCTCGAAGACGCGAAGACCACGACGACGGCAGCACAACAAGTTCCACTCCCGACGACAGCAGCCCCGACTGTGAGTCGGAACTCGCCTTTTATCCTCCCCAGCGTGGCCAGGCTCCGCCCTCGGCCACGCACCCTTCTGAATCCCCCAGAAGGCTCCCGGGCTTCGCCCACGTGTCCCACTGGTAGACCAGGGTGCTTCCCATAATCCCATTCTCTACCAGTCCTCAGTGCTACACGCTCCAGTGACTCATTCTATGTCACTACATCACCCCCCCCCCCCCCCCCCCCCTTTCCGTAAAAGAAAAAAACGCCGTCCTGGCTGACCCTCATACGTCACGTAGCGGGACGATGAATGCAACAATATCCATGTAAGATTCACAACGCATGGCAACAATCCAGCCCCCGAAATATACCGCAACCAAACGACGAGTAGGGGCGGTCATCTGAACCGAACTGCCTTGGAATGGGTCCTTGTCGCCGGCCCCTCGTATGGGCCCGACACGGGTCCTCCAGGGACCCCGGGGGTGACTCGAAGATGGCCCAATGGGCACGGTCCCTCCCAGGATGAATATTGAGGAAAAGAAGAAGTGGGTGGCGGTTGTACGGTCCACCCCGGTCCACCTGTGGGTGGCACCGCCGGCGATTCCATGGGCGTCAGGCCCTGGGATCCTGCAGATGGAGGAACAGAGCCTCGCTGAGGTGCAACCTCCATAATCGTACGTCCGGCTCCGTTGGATACATCAAACACCCGGCCATCAGATGGTGGAGATGAAAGGACCTCATGAGGTGGAAAATAGGGTTTCAGCCATAACGGGTGCACATACCAACGCCTGCGACCAACCTGGATCCGCACACACTGCCGCCTCCTAACCTCAATTACCTCCACCGGGCCCTGCAATGGCCTATGGAATTTAAGAGATGTGCCCGGAGACAACTGGGGGCAATGCAGCCATGCCCTCTCCCCAGGTTTCCACAGGTATCCGGACTCCTTAAGTCCAGCCAGTTTTTCATTCACAGCCTGCCGCTTGGCCGAATTACCACGGGACGCCTCCCACGCTTCCGTCAACCGCTTAAGGGTGATGCTCATAAGTCCTCTTCTTGCTTGGCTCAATATTTAACTGGGCTTCCATGGGGGGGATCACATTCTCTCCCGTACATTAAAAAAATGGGGAGAACCCAGTAGAGGCTTGAGGGGCCATCCTATAGGCCGCAAGAACACCCGGAACGCGTAGGTCCCAATTGGACTGTGCCTCATTGACTTGTTGGCACAACATGGACGCAAGGGTCCTTTGTAAATGCTCTACCATTCCGTCAGTCTGGGGATGGTAGGGCGAAGTTTGAATTTTCTTTGTACCCAACAAATTACATTCCTCGTAACAATTTCGAAGAAAAATGTTGACCCTGGTCCGTAAGGAGACGTTCCGGGGCCCCTTTATCCGGCAGGAGCCATGTCACGGTCTACCATGACAGGTATTCTACCCCTACCAGCAATAATTTATTTCCCCTCATAGTGGTGGGAAATAGCCCGAGGATGTACGGGACACCCCAATAGATTGCAACACTGGTCGGGTCAGCCTTTGCGGGGGCTTCCGGCGAGCACATTCCACACATCCTTTAAGCACATTGTGGACGTCTTCTGACATCCCGGTCCAAAAGAAGTCACACTTCAACATAGATAACGTTTTCTGCACCCCTAGGTGCATCAATCGCACATGGGCAGCTCTCGTTACCCTACCCCGCAGAGCAGTTGCCACAATGATGCATTACCTTTGTACCTCCTTATCCCAGTGCATTAGTAGCCCATCTTGGAGGACCACAGGGGACATATCCCCTGGACCCTTCCTACCGCACACCATCGCGGTGCCGTATTTTTAGTAAGGAGGCCGCCTGGAGGCATTCCTCGTGTGCAAGACCAATAGTATTATCACGTGACACCCGCATTACGGGTGGCGGAGCATCCACCGACGCTACAACTGTGCCCGGCTCCCCCGCATCCACCTGCTTACAATGGCCGGCGCCCATCAAACACGCGCACTTGCTCTTTGGCGATAACCGTGACAGAGCATCCGCATTGCAGTGGCGCAACCCTTTCCTATAGGTCACTATGAACAAATAATCTTGCAGAATCTCCAACCATCGCGAGAGTTGCACGAACGGCTGGTCAACTCGTAGCGCGTATTGCAAAGCCGCGTGATCTGTGCGTACCACGAACTGTCTACCATAGAGGTATGGGCGGTACTGCTGTACAAAGTGCACAATAGCCAACAATTCGTGGCGCGTAACACAATAGCGCTGCTCTGCGGGGGCCAGTACCCGGCTACCATAAGTGCGATGCTCTCCACCCCGTTCTCCTCCAGCGACAACACAGCACCGATCCCGGTATCACTGGCATCCATATCCAACATAAACGGCAAGGAGATATCGGGGTATCGAAGGGGGGTGCGATCACGAGGTCGTCGCGCAGCGCAACAAATGCGGCCTCCTTCCCGCACGGAAACCTCTGGCCTTTTGACGTAAGAGCGTGGAGCGGCTTCACGATCGTTGCAAACCCGGGCACAAAGCGGCGGTAATATGACACGAACCTAACAAAACTGCGGACCTCACCCACCGACGTGGGGGTCGGCCACTTACGCACGCAGTCTTGTCAGGGTCCGTGGCGATCCCGGACTTGCTAACAATGTGACCCAGGTAGCAAAGAGGTAACATTTCTGCGGCTTGAATTTCAAATTAGCCGCCTGCATTTTAACAAATACCGCACACAACCGCTGCAGATGTTCCCGGAACGTGCGTCCAAAGACAATCACGTCATCCAAATAGATAAGACATCAATTCCATTGGAGCCCCGACAGTACCACTTCCATAAGTTTCTGGTACGTGGCCGGAGCTGAGTGAAGCCCCATTGGAAGGCAGTTAAATTTAAACAGCCCTTGCGGTGTCTGGAACGCGGTCTTGGGTTTGGAACTTTCATCCAGAGGCAACTGCCAAAACCCGGACAATAGATCCAGGATGGAAAAAAAAACATGTGCCCAATTGGGCATCCAACGAATTGTCCATCCTTGGGAGCGGATACACGGAGACTTTATTTAATTTCCGAAAATCCACACAAAATCGCAAACTCCCGTCCTTATTTTTAACCAGGACAATGGGAGTTTCCCACGGATTGGTTGATGGGGAAATTATATCGGCGGCCAACGTCTCGTTGACCACCTGATGAACGTGGTCCTTCTCCTTTGGATTAAATGAGTTGAAAATGAGTTCTGACGAATGGGAGCAGCGCTGCCCGTATCAATATGGTGATGTCAAATTTTTACTTAAAACTTTACTGACTGCAGGAATTCATATTCTTGGTTCTTTCGGTAAAGTCACGCAGATAGAAAATAAAAATAGTAAAATAAAATTAAAAATAAAATAAAAGCAAAAAACCCACGACGTTTTGATCGCAACACAAGCGGTCTTCAAACTCACTTTGGAAACCCTTATAAGCAGCTGCATTTGGAGGCTTGCCCTCTTTTATCATTTTTATTTTCTATCTACGTGACTTTACCGAAAGAACCAAGAATATAATATGGTGATGCATCAGGGATGTTCGGCCAACATTGAATTTACCGATTTAAAGCTTTCGTGACTGCAAGGATTCATCTTCTTTGGTTCTTTCGGTAAAGTCACGTAGAATGAGAATAAAAGAATAAATTGATACAATAAAATAACACAATAATATTTTCACGACGTTTTGGCCACAACACAAGCGGCCTTCATCAGGTGAAGGGACGAGACTGTCTGGAGGACAACGCTGGAGTGAAAAAGCCACACTCAGATCGCGACCTTTAAGCTGTGTGAGAATAAACAAAGCGCCTTGACAAAGGAATTAGCATAGAATTTAGTATTGAAATGGCTGAGTGATTAGCTTGTGACTGGTCACAGAAATGGCTATGTTAAAGTTAAAGCATACACATCCACAGAGGCACCCCAGCGGCCAACTCTCACGCAACTCACGCACCGAAGCACCCTCTCCACACCCCGTATCAATATGAGGGGTGATGGCATGTGCACCCGACACCGACTGCAATGGAGATGCATGATGTGACTGCGTCAGCCGGGTGTGTGACGTATCGCGACCTGCCTTTCGCCCCAGAGGAGCGGAGGCCGGCAGGGCGGAGGATGGCGAAGCCAGGAAGAACTGCCCCAGATCAGCACAGCAGCCCCTAGAGATGTGGCCCTGTAGGCCACATCGGAAGTAGATAACGGGGCCTCACCATGGCAGAGGGAAGGTTCCCCCCCACTGGTCCTGTTGTCGTCCCGCACCGACTCTCCCGCGCTGGCACCAACTACCCAACACGCAGACCCGTGAAGACTTTTGGTGCTCCTGGTCACCCTCTTCTCCCGGGAATCCAGCCCAGGCTGCCACCGCGGCATGCCTTCGCAAGTTACAGTGGGCCTGGATGCCTGAATCGAGGACAGGTCATCTTCCTCCGCGGCCGGCAAAAAAAATGCTGGTTTCCTGAGCCAGCGCCAACAATTTCTCCAGCACCAAAGAATCCAGTCCCGCCTGCTCTATGTTGCTACGCAGCCTGGGCCAGCAACATTAGTGCGCTGCGGAAGGCGAGAGGCGTCTTGGTCTCCCCCCGACTCTGCATCACGAATTTCCGTCGTGCGTTGGACAGCTTGCCGCAGCATCGCCCTGTCTACCAGGGGAATGGCAAAAAATGCCGCCAAGGCATCGTCATCATGCGCGGTAGGAAGAGCACAAAGCACCTCTGCATCGGACCACCCTGCGAGCTCGCAAGTGGTGGAGAAACGCCGCTGGTAGGCCGCCCAATCAACCCCCACAGGCAAAAATTCCTTGATAAATGGCAACCGCTGCTCGAGGGAAGGCGCCCCCGGATGAGCTGTCGGCGGCAGGTTAAATTCGGTGAGACCCAATTCCTGCCCTTGCAGCAATGGCAGAGTCGCCTGCTCGCTGCCCCCGAGCCGCAGCCCCTTCCTCCGGCTCTTCCCTACCCAGCTGCCCCACCAACGTCGTGACCGTGGAGATCAGCTCCATGATGCGCGTTCTGAGTGCCCGCAGCCCTTCATCAGCTGGCGGCGGCTTGGGGTCGTTGTCCTTTGCCCGTTGTCCCGCCAGGATCGCCTCTTCAGGACCCCCCACTGGGGTCCTGGCTGCTGGGGCTGCCCGGGAATCACCGTCGCCCTCTTCGCCCGAGGATATGCCGGTGAGAGCCTTCGTCTTCGCGGATTTTGACAGTCTATTTCACCCCACAAGGATTCGAGAGAAAAAAAAAAAATCCTAACAACCCTACACTATAAAAAAAATTCGTTAACACTTCTGACACCAAATGTAGTGTACTAATTCAGAGACACTAGTAGAAAGCACTCTCTCTATCTTGTTTATTCCAGCCTTTACAGCCATAGGGGATAACTACATACTGGATCAGGCCAGCCAACATGCTTCCAGACCCACAGCTTGAAGAGGCAAAGATCACGACGATGGCAGCACGATGAGTTCCACTCCCGACGACAGCAGCCCTGACTGAGTCAGAGCTTGCCTTTTATCCTCCCCAGCATGGCCAGGCTCCGCCCTTGACCACGCACCCTTCTGGATCCCCCAGAAGGCTCCAGGCTTCGCCCACATCTCCCACTGGTAGACCGGGCTGCTACCCATAATCCCATTCTCTACCAGTCCCCAGCGCTACGTGCTCCAGTGACTCATTCTATGTCACTACACATGTTTTACGATTGAGATCTAGAGAGGTGCAGGCTGCAGCAAAGGTTAAGAACCACTGCTCTAAAATGTGGAGGGAAAAACTGGAGAAAAATCCATGCGACCACGGGGAGAGCACGCAAACTCCAAATATACAGGCGTCGGGGGTCGGAATTGAACCCACAACCTCTTGTATACCAGGCGAGGTAGTTAACATCTTGCCACCGTGGGTCGATAAATGAGCACCACTTTGCGGAGAATTCAACCGTGGTTGTCCTATGGATAGACCCATCCCCACCATAGAAATGTGTAATTTCCACCACTGGTCCAGAGCTGTAAACAAGAGATGAGAACCAATGCCTCAATGCTCATTTGAGCTTGACATGTTTAATGAACATAAGACGTACATATAAAAAATGAGTACATGCATTGTAATTGAAACTAGTATGTAAAGCTCGTATACAGTAATGTGATTTAAAATAAACAGGTATATATAAAAGTGTGCGTGCACTTGAATACCGTTTGAATACAAGAAACGTATTATATCTCATTTGTGAAGGGGCACGATATGTTACGGTTACATTTTACTTACATAACTTTCTTCAACGCATTGCAAACTAAAAATATATATTTTTCTAATCACAAGGGTATTTTGTTACCCAAATATATTTCAAATGTTCATGGTTATGATGCAATAAAATGTTGTAAAGTATATTGGTTACATGTCCAATAAAACATTTAAAACAAATTCATACATTTAAACGTGGCTGAAAAGCTTTATTATCATTTAAATGTACAGTATATTCAGTTTCCCCTCAAATTTCTATTTCATCAACCCACACTGACCACTGAATAAAGTAGCAGCCAAACAACCCCCATGACTGACGGCGTGGGGAGGTCTTTATCCAGCAGTGGATTGCCAAAGCGCTGTACATGTATCCCTCGATTTACAAAAGTGATACGTTCTTCAAAAAAACATCCATAAAACGACATTTCGTTAATTTGAATGGCTTTTCCCATTAATTTAATATGAAAATTATGGATGTGTTTCTGGCCTAAAGGATGTTGCTGTGACCAAATTTTGCTCCTTGCAATGCACATCGAGGCCAGATTCCAGAAATCCAAGACCAGTACAGCCTTTGTAGACGTCATCGACCTATGACACGGTCGTGATTTAAAGACCTACATGAATTTCGTAAGGATCACCCCCTTGCCTCAAAATATGCCTACTATGGACGATGCCGAGGTATGTGTCCATTTGGCTTAGCACTCGCGCCGTCGCTTTTTATTGTCTACACAAGCGATGCGCCACCAACGAATTAGCACAGATTGCATACGTGGATGATCTTGCCTTGGCCATTCAAGCAGTCACCTTCATTGACATCGCATTCATCTTGAACGGGGACCTAAACACCATAGAGGGATATTTCCGGACATGGAAGCTCAGCCGAGTCGCTGCATGTCATCTTCGTTAAGCACACCCTGAAAGTGTCCTTTTGTGGCAACACTGTGCAAGATGACCCCGCTCCGACCTACCTAGGAGTAAATTTGGACCGCACTCTAACCTTCCACGATCACCTGAAGATAGCCGCTAAAATGAAGACAAGGGTAAATCTGGTCCAGAAACTGGCCCCCACAAGATGGGGAGCATCAACATCGGTGCTACAGACTCGATTTGTTGATGTCCAAATGAACGATGCAATGACATGGAATCCCCAAGACGACCCCAATGCCCTGGCATCCTGGGAAGTTACATTGCACGTAGCTTCTCCATCCATTCAGGAAGTCCAGCAATGCATAGGAAACATACATCTCCCCATCCACCAGGATATCAAAAATGTCACTCATCACCGTTTGAAGTTATGCAAGCCCTTTTGGACCAACCAACTAAAGCTTCAACAATGCAACTTCGGCCCTGATTATGCTTGAAAATCCGAATGGAGATCACGACACTTCACAAATATGTCATGGAAGACCGGATGCTGATCCCTGGTTAAAATTTTCCGCTCAACTCATGGGCCACAACCCTAAACCACATCTGCTCAAACCAATGGAAAATTTCAAACTCTGTGGTGTGCGACTGTGGTCACTCAGAACAGACCATGGAACATATAACGACTCAATTCCCAATTCACAAACTTGAACAGGATATCATTCAACTATTTTACAAAGTTTGAAAAATATTTTAAAGATTTTAACCGAATACCCTTTATAATCATCCTTCTTAAGGTTTCCATAAACGTTACTTTCTAAATTCCATCATCGCGTTTTAAATCCGAAAATATTCCCAGTAATTTAGACGATTGTATCTCATTGCACGCCGCCTAGTCACACAGGTACTGATTTTGCGGACGCTTTGGCAGTTGAGGAGGCAGCGGAGCAGGCAGGGTCTGCGCTCGGGAACTCCTGCATGGCAGCGGTGGGGCCGTCTGAGGTTGCCTTGGCGATGCCACCATGGGCAACGTGTTGTGCTTGCGTCCGTGTGCTTGAGGTGACACGCTCTGCGAGTATTTGGCCTGAGTGAGTAAATAAGAGCCGCTCAAATCAGGCCGCATGGAAATGGGTTTGTATGAAGATCTGGGTGGGAGGGGTAACTGGGTGTGTGATTGGCGAGAAGATACGGGTTGTGCTGGCAATGAATTATATTTGTAGCTGGGTGTTGAAGGTAAGGCATTGTCTATGTTTCTGGGTTTTGGAGGAAACGGATTGTCTGTGTATCTGGGTGTTGGGGGTAAGGTACTGGAGGCCTGTCTGTGCGTTGGGGCTGAGGAATAATCTCTGTATCTTGGTGTTGGAGGTAAGGGATATAATGTGTGCCTGTACGTTGGGGGTAACGGGTTGTCTGTGTGTCTGGGTGTTGGGGGTAAGGTGTTGAATGTGTGTCTGTGTGTTGGGGGTAACAGGTTTTCTGCACACCTTGGTGCCACCCTTAAGCGATTATCTTCTTGCCTGGATGCTCGGAGTAGTGGACTGTCTGTTGTTTGGGACGATGGGCTCGACTGTTTACCTGTGAACATCGGTGGCACGGGCAAAGCGCCCCTCGAGTGGCCGGTAAATGTGTGCAAAGGGTCATATTGGTGCTGGGTTTGCAGAGGCAACGTGAGCCTTCTCTGCTGTGGAATTGGTAAAGCTGTTGCCCTTGTCCCATCCGGTCGTGGAAATGTTGAATGCCTGTGAAAGATAATTAAATGAGCATAACTATGAATAGTTCATAGCACTTTGTCAATCCCAGAGTGGCGGGGTTCATAGTGCAATGTGCGAACCAATGCACCGCTGCTTTACACCACACAAGGGTAAAAAATCGAACTTTGACCATCTACATTAGTGCCACAATTCATTCGTAGGTGTGGAGAAGGAAAAGTAAAAATGCCGTGCTTCTCACACACGTTCTTATTGGGGCTGTGATCGAATAGAATTATCCTCATTATCTGTGCTATAGCCTCTTCCTTGTTTTATAAAACTACCATCTCTTTTCTCCAATCATCTGTGAATGGCATAAACTTAGGGTCTAACACAAAAAAGTTATATTTTGTTACGCCGCCACTTCTTGATGGGTCATGTGTTTGCGTAATGGCCCAAAACATTATGGTGAAAAAGTTAAACACATTACAGGTCACACATTTAATTTTTTCACTGATATTGTAGTAATCATTACTTATTTACCCAGGAAAGCCACACTGAGAATTGAGATACAGTTTGTTTTTCTATAACGCAAATTGGAAATAACCACAATTAATGTAATAGGGAACACATTTCTTATAATGTGAATTCGATGTGACACGATCGAGTGAACAGAACTTTGTCGCACAAGTAGGAATAAGCGGTTGTATGGCTGCCTCTGTGTAGCATCACACAAGACGAGATGCTGCTGGATGCTTCTTGATGCTATCCAAGCCCCTCAGTCTTTGTTCAGCCTGAGTACACATCTCACGCGTTATCGCGAATAGTGCTTTACCATATATTATATATTATTTACAATAACGCATCTATCTTGAAGCTTTCATGACTGCAGGAATCCATACTCGTTGGTTCTTTCGGTAAATCACGACGTTTCAATCGTAACACAAGTGGCCATCCTCAGGCAGAAAAAATAGAATCCAGCAGTGGACCTGCTGAACCAGCGAGAGAGCAGCTACAACAAGGCTATATATGTGGCGATGGGCAAGCAAGTGGGGTCTGAGCTGGAAAGGAATTCCATCCACGGACGCAAGCACTTCAGTTGTGTTAATGGGGGAGATTATGGAGAGAGGGATTAGGGAGGGAGATTAGCATGAATGAGCTTCCGTCGCTGCATAAGAGTATCATGCCCGCATATGCGCACAACAGCAGTATTAATGAGAGATTAGCAACCCTGAGAGTGCAATCCAAAGGACGTGAACATGAGCGTGCAATCCAAAGGGCATGTTAGCCTGAGAGGTGCAATCCAAAGGACATGTGAGCATGAGAGTGCAATCCAAAGGGCATGTGAGCATGGGAGTGCAATCCAAAGGACATGTTAGCCTGAGAGGTGCAATCCAAAGGACATGTGAGCATGAGAGTGCAATCCAAAGGGCATGTGAGCATGGGAGTGCAATCCAAAGGACATGTGAGCATGAGAGTGCAATCCAAAGGGCATGTTAGCCTGAGAGGTGCAATCCAAAGGACATGTGAGCATGAGAGTGCAATCCAAAGGGCATGTGAGCATGGGAGTGCAATCCAAAGGACATGTGAGCATGAGAGTGCAATCCAAAGGGCATGTGAGCATGAGAGTGCAATCCAAAGGGCATGTGAGCATGAGAGTGCAATCCAAAGGACATGTGAGCATGAGAGTTGTGATTTATTTTATTTTATACCTACGTGACTTTACCGAAAGAACCAAAGAGTATAACGCATTTACCGCGTTATAGGAGAACAGACTGTATATGTGTAGTGACATCGGGGATGTCACTGTATGGTGCCGGCCTGGGAGGATCGTGGCGTGCGATGTTCCTACATCACGGACAGCAATATCTCTGCCGTTGCTGATCATTGTTTTAACGCTGTGGGCTCACACGAAATTGATTTTTCCAAAATGGAGGTACTCTGCAAACCTACCGGCTACCTTCAGAGTTGTTCATGAAGCCATCCAGATATAAAAACACAGACACAACTTCATCCGAGAAGATGGGTACAAACTGAGCAATCATTGGAAAGACGTTATTAACCAGGTAAAGTCTTAACTGACTGTGATGTTTCAATCCTACCTGCCTATATCAGCTGTTATTTCCGACTCTCTGTGTCTCTCTCTCTATGCCTCTCTCTTAGATCTATCACATGTCCTTTGGATTGCACTTTCATGCTCACATGTCCATTGGATTGCACTCTCATGCTCACATGTCCACTGTATTGCACTCTCATGCTCACATGTCCATTGGATTGCACTCTCATGCTCACATGTCTTTTGGATTGCACTCTCATGCTCACATGTCCTTTGGATTGCACTCTCATGCTCACATGTCTTTTGGATTGCACTCCCATGCTCACATGTCCTTTGGATTGCACTCTCATGCTCACATGTCCTTTGGATTGCACCTCTCATGCTCACATGTCCTTTGGATTGCACCTCTCATGCTCACATGTCCTTTGGATTGCACTCTCATGCTCACATGCCCTTTGGATTGCACTCTCATGCTCACATGTCCTTTGGATTGCACTCTCATGCTCACATGCCCTTTGGATTGCAACTCTCATGCTCACATGTCCTTTGGATTGCACTCTCATGCTCACATGTCCTTTGGATTGCACTCTCATGCTCACATGCACTTTGGATTGCACTCTCATGCTCACATGCCCTTTGGATTGCACTCTCATGCTCACATGTCCTTTGGATTGCACTCTCATGCTCACATGCCCTTTGGATTGCAACTCTCATGCTCACATGTCCTTTGGATTGCACTCTCATGCTCACATGTCCTTTGGATTGCACCTCTCAGGCTCACATGCCCAATGGATTGCACTCTCATGGTGCTAATCTCTCATTAACACAGGCATCAACACGTGGCCGGGAGCCGAGTGAGGGTCTGACCCTTCGTAGCTGTAACTCCTCCGTATAGTGTAGTTAGCTGGGTGGTCACCACCCTAGGCTGTATCTGGTCAAGGGGCAGTTTCCCCTTTGTCTATTACATGTTGGTATAATAAATGTGTTGCCTCTAAAGAAAAACGTCTGCGACTCAGTTGGACTCACTACATATGTTTTAGCTATGGGAGGGAAACAGAGAACCCGGTTGTAACCCGATGCAACACAGGGGAGAACAAATAAACTCCACGCATGAGTCACGCGAGAATCTAACCCAGGAATTTCTCGCTGTGAGGTGCGAGCATCACCGCTGTGCCACTACCCTGCCGCCCACTCATTGCTAGGCATATGTATGCATACATAAGTGTATACAGTAGGTCGTGGGTTCGATCCTGACCCTGACGCCTGTATATTTGGAGTCTGCATGTTCTCCCCGTAGTCGAGTGGATTTTTCTCCGGGTCCTCCAGTTTTTACCTCCACATTTAGAATCAATATTCGTGTAGAATATTTGGCTGCAATAAATTTCCACGTGATAAGCCACTTCTTTGAGCTATTACCTGTGGCCAGGTCGCTTATGAAAAAAAGCTATATAGCTCAGTAGGCCTTACCTGGTAAAATAAAAATATTAAATCGTTTTGTATGCATGTTGAACTTCTTTGGCACCGTACATAGCCAACCGTGCGAGGGACGTTGCATCCTCCCTGGCGTCTCACCTGGCTGCGCCGTCGCTGCTGTAGAACGTTGGGCCCAGGGAGAGGCGAGGGGCGACAGGCGGGGGCTCGTGAGTGAGAAACGTGCTTCTCTGGTCGTGCGTGTTCTGAACAGGTGGATCTGAAACGTGCCGCACGTCCTCCTGCAAGAAGCGTCGCGATCACAAGAGCTCAGGGGATGCGGGGGGTGCAATGCAAAGGCGAAATTCAGAACGCGAAGGGATCCGTTAATTAGATTGATGGCTGAAGTGAATAGTTATGTCTGTAGTCAGCAAACATGCAAAATATGAAGACTGCTTCAATGAATTGCAGGTTGCTCCAGTTAGCTTAGTAAATCCTCCACTCATGTTGAGGACTCGGTCCACTAGATTCACTGTTACTTCTCATTCACACTGTTCAATCACCGCGCTGCAGATCACAGCAACACATTCACCCATCCACTCACTCACCCACTCACCCACACAAGACAAATATCCCCCTTTTAACCTTAACAGACTTTTGGGGCAAGTGCTGTTCGCGAATAGCGCCTATGAAGGCTGGCACGATACACAAAGGGGTAGGTGACCAACACCACGCCTGGCCACCTCACTGCAGGTCACAAAGCACTCACTCACTCACCCGCTCACTCACCTACCCATCCACCTATTCACTGACTCGTCAAACTGCAGATCAAATCAATTATTTTCTGCCTCTTCCCTGGCACTGCTCCACTTTGGAACTCCCTCCCGTGGTCTCTATTCCTTTATTTTTACAACTTTGCTCAATTAAAAAAATGTGTGAAGTCTTATCACTTGCAACTCTGATAGTACTGTTTGTTGCTGCTTGAAATTTTTTAGCTTTTAGCCATGTGCTTAGGAACTGTGAACATTTGTTTCAAGTTAATGAGCATTTGTAAAGTATATTTACCTAGCCTGCAAAGGCCCAGTGCACAATGATTGCATTGAGATTGTGATGTCAGAAGGCCTCATGCTATTATTACTACTACATGTACATGGTAATGCGTATTGAAATACACAATAAAATCCTGTGAGTAACTTACAGTAAATGCAAATATTCAGCGTATGGCCTTAACAGACTGTTGAGACAAGTCTTGTTAGCGAGCACCTATGAAGACTAGCCATGTCACACAAGGGACTGGGTGGCCAACACCACGCCCAGCCACCTTAGTCTCCTGAGTGGCGATGTTAACACACCGCACCAGGTACTCAGTTGAGGTTAAGTCGAACCTAGGGGATGGCCAGGGCTGGTTCAGATAAACGTCACTGGTGTTGGCCGTGAGCGGGAATCGAACTCGGGTTGCCAAGCTCATGGCACAGCGTGCTAGCCAAGACACTACGGCTACCCACATACAAACACGCATATAAAATCCTGTTAGTATCCTCCAGAAAATACACACACCTTTGGTAGGATGTAGGTATGGTTTGAGCTCCTCTGACCACGTGGCCCCTTGTCAACACAACCTATTATAAAATATAAGCAGAAATAAGCTGTGAATCAAGACTTATAAGTGGTACCACTGGTGAACAGTTAAAATTTTTACTTATACGGTTACATAAATAACCCAACAAAACCTTAATTTCGTTTCTTTGCCATGATTTGTAGCGTTATAACTGTGCCGTATATCCGAACCACACGGGGAAGAAATTGTGGTTGACATAGAAGTTTACCTGATACTTTCAGCGTACAACTCATGAACATTGTTATTTAATCAAATTCAAGTCTCTCCACCGACTCCTGCTGATTGTAGTGATAATAACAGTGGAACGCACCTCATTTAGCAAAAGTCAATGAACAAAGGTAAGTCCTCGCTTAACGCGTGTTCACACAACGCATTTTCGCTATAACGTGGTTCTTCAATTCGGGAATACTTCGCAGAAAGTGCATTATAACGGATTGCATCCGTTATAATGCACAGTATAACGGATTGCATCCGCACTTGCATCCGTTATACTGTGGAAAGCACCCTGTTATGTGGTTTCTGAGTAGTTGACGACAAACTACTTTCTTGAGCTGCGCAGCTGAGCGGTGTGATACAGTATGTGGAATTATTCAGTCACGCAGCGGCGTACCCTCAGTTATTCCCACCATGTCACTTTGTGTGCATAGTACATCGTATTTTCCATAATTGACGGTTTTTGGGTTAGATCGCGTAAATATATAAATGTGTCGTTAAAACCCACCACCACACGACACAGCCAACTAGTAAGGGTTGTCACGTAAACAGAACGTGCCAATTCGTCACTAGTACAGCACACCGGTGTGTTGGAGAGCCAAACCACAACATTTACAAACTGAACACGACATTTCGCCAGTAATTACAACTTGCTTCATCAGGCGACAGCCAGAGTTGTGAAGTCTTACTGTTTCGTTCCTTATATAGAGGCGTAGATGTGTTGACCACCCTTCTGCGCTCTTGCACAATGGGGGGGGGGAGGATTATGGATGACATTGATCGCGAAAACCTACGTGTTATACATCGTATTTCACCAACCTTCGTTACATTATTTATGGGGAATTGTTTTCGCTCAACGTGTTTTTCGCTCAACGCGGCATTTTCAGGAATGCATCTACCACCACCCTAAACGAGGACCGTACTACACTGTGCCGGCTCGCAACACGCTGCTTGATCTGACGAGCTGCTGCAACCCACACTGCCCCTCTTAGGCGTTTCCGTAGCTCCCACGTCAGGAGCCGCCCTGCCGTAGACAGCAGGTGAATGCGCGGCCCTCTATGCCTGCACGTCATTGGCCAGGCTGTACAAGTTCAGATTTGGCGCAGACATGACGTGCGGCATTCCACCGAGGGGGCGTGCTCCCTCCGGTGGCCTCGTGTGGGCTGGGCCTGTTGGAGGCAGGGTACTATAATCGGCGCTACAGGACCAATCCAGCTCACCTTGGCTGTACAATTTGGGCGGTGCATGGGCCACGCCGGAAAGGTTGCCCGCCTTGTCACCTTTCCCTGGCAGGCACGGCGCTCCCACTGACTGGTACAGCCCTTGTTCGGACAGGTGGATGATCTCCACAACGCCTGCAAAACCAGGCGCACACAAACGCCGCACACACCACACCGCATCTGCTTTCAGCACACGTCCTTTCCTGTTAATACGCTGGTGAAATAATCACCCTCAAACCATTCTGATATTTCCATTTCCAACTTGATCTGACTATGCACGATTTTATAAAAAAAATATCTGAACCAACTTTCATTGGAGTAATTTTGTATTCTTTACCGAGTCATGTATGTACACAGTTTTTCGATTTCTTCTGTAAAGTGGTTGTTTTTGCTTAAATTTATATCTTGTTATTTTGCTCCGATTTATATTTTCTTTGTGTTCTTGTTTTCATGTTTTTATGCTTTTGTGGTGACCCAGGCCACTCCTGCCAATGAGACTCTATCCTGCGCTCTTGAGTTCTCACCTCGCTGATCTCGTCAATGAACATAAACCATTACGCGAACTCCGGCCATCCTCGAAGCAGCGGCTTTTGGCTAGCCATCAAACAAAGACAGTCACTGCATCGCGTGTTGTGAAACTCCCTTCCTGCGGGTATCGAGGTGCCATATCCTGACTTGCCAGGGAAAAGGCGGCCATCTATTACATCTGTATTGGATGGAGTGTTTCCCCATCGTATGCATGGGTTTTCTCTGGGTCCTCCGGTTTCCTCCCACATAAACGGAACTGGCCATACATCGCAATATAGGACCGCAGAGCTCGGGCAATTGTTGGCGCCAGTTCCGGCTGCTACCTTCCCAAGTGCTCATCTGTCCTTTCCCCACGCCTCTGAATTCTACGAAAACTATGCGCTATATAAATGTGTAACTTTCATTTTTGGGGAATGGTTGATGATGATGCTGCTGATACATGTTGAAGGCTGGGGTCGGAGCTACAGCTAAGCTGTATCCATTTACACAGCCACGCCTGGAGTGTTGACATTGCTCTGTAGAGTTATTTCGCCCTCTTACCTCTATGTTTTCCAATGGCAGGCACTGCTCTGATGTGCCTGGAGGTGTGCGTGTGCAAGTTGGTTAGCTTACCAGCCTGTGAAGATTTGTCCTTTTGTCGCTCTGCGATGCTTTTCCGTAGCTGCTGTAGATTTTTCTAGTGAGAAGGAACAGGAAGCACATGATAATTGTGCGGTAATTGTTTTTGTAGTACTTCAAGCAGTCTTATTTTACATTAAATATCTCCCCATATTTCACATGTGCATGTATGTTGAACTTCTTTCACACCGTACATAGCCAACCGTGCTAATCAGAGGTGCGGGGGGAAGGACAACAAACTAAACATAAAAATATATTCTAATGAAGTGAGTTTTAAATCTAGATTGAAAAGATAATAGCTCCAGCGTCTTCCTAATATTGGCAGGAAAAGCTTTCCAGACTGCCGCAGAAGCTCATCTGAATCTACTGTGCTTATTTTCACAAATGTATACCCTGCGAATAGTGTTTTGTCTTTTTGTTTATGTCCCCCTTTCTCTGCCTCTGCGGTGCTGACATATAGATTTAGGACTTGCCTGAGAAAAGGATATGCCGGATGGCAGTAAAGAGAGCAGTTCGCAGTCACAAGGTTATGAGATCAATTCCCGGTTGTTGGAAGTTGACTCAGCCCATCATCCCTCCGGTGTCTATAAAATAGTACTACCATTCAATATGGTAAAGTCGACAGTAAGCGTCCTATGGATGGACTTTCCCCCCCTCTAAATGTACAAAAAATTCAATTTCTACCACCAGCTCATGGCTGTGAACAGGAAACGAGCGGCGCCTCAATGCTGGATCGAGCAGGAAATTGCTTAGACTTGACTATTCGAGTCCCTGCATCAGGAAATTGACTTGACTATTCAAGTGCCTGGAGCGCCTCCGCACCTCCGATTACCACGTTTGGCTGCGTACTGTGCAAAAGAAAATCAACACACATACATACAGTACATGCTTGCTCCAGTTTGCCAGCAACACGGAATACACTCCATGACAAATCGAGCCCTGGTAATGACCGCCGAGCTTACCGCTTTAATCTGCATGGATTCGGCCTGCTGCTCGTGATGCTGCTGCCAGGTCTTGAAGTTGGACACGGCCTGGTCGATGGAGATGTGTCCGAACTTCACCTGCTGCTGCAGCTGGATGAGCTCCTGGAGCCCAGGCAGCAATTCCTGCTTGGCCTGATCCCCGGCGTCCCCAGTAGAACGCCGACGAGCATCCTCCTCGGCCTTGCCTAGGGCACAGGAGGGCCACGACACTGATGCACTTAGCCGCCACACGCAAGGTGATTGTAGAATGAACGCTTCAGCACCACCAATGCACCTTAACAACGCATCTCGTCTCAAAACATTCGAAGGTGATCAGCTTGATCCTTCGTGGAAGCTGTCCAACATTTCTGCATGAACGAACATATAGAGATATAGCCTGGAATAATGCAAACACATCAAATAACCGCCCTGATTGAATTACCTATAGAACGCTAAGAAATAGATGTACTCACCTTGTAAAAAAATGTTACATTTTAATCCTATCATCAAAATATTATAAATTTACTAAAATAAATCAAGACTTCTGGAAAACATTTAATTCAGTTGAAAACAAAGGAAAGCAAAATGTTCCACCAAAAAAACCTCTTTCCTGGATGCCAAAGCACTGTTCACAAAACAAGACATTGTCAATGGATATAATTCTCATTGTGGATCAACCCTGAAAATGTTAGTGAAAGGCATCGTTCCTGCTTATTTAGTCCCATATCTGAACTGTACGTACTGCATAAGCGAATATCCATTAAGACATCATCATCCACATGAGAATACGAGTTACCTGCATTTTTACTCATGGCTGTAACAGATCTCAACTTTAAACCTCACACATACATGTTCAACCTATCACTTACCGAAGGCACATTTCTACAAGTGGAAATCCACTCGTTCATCCAGTATATAAAAATGGATTCAAAGAAGGTCCTAATAACACTAAACTACAATTTTTTAGACGTTGTCTGCTTCAGAGATGAAATATGCTGTTTATTATGGATTTTGATGTGCTGAATTCGAATATGACAATTAAAACAACTGATTGGCTACTGTTCCCAAAATATTTACGTTTTTACCTTTTACGTCTATATATAATGTGTAGATAGTAAAGTTTTACTCATAAATTGTAAACCTAGGTCTTTTCATTGGTTTATGGTTACTTTAAATGATAACATGTCACCTGCCTGTTCATGTAACACTTTAAAATCAGCAAAAGGGTTATACATAAAAAGTATTGTAAAGGAGAGCCGACACAAGGTTATTGCTTCCCCCAGTCCACACTCGTCCCCAGCCTTCTCGATCCGGTTCCCGCCAGTTCTCTCTCTTATATCTCCTCACTTGCTCCTCCCCCTTCCACTGTCACCGTCCCACTTTCCCCCTCCTTTTGGTGGGAATCCTTCCCCTGACATCCCTTACAGTATTATGAAACAAAAGGCAAAAAAAATACGTATACAAGTACGTAGTTTAGTCCTTATTTAGTGTCTACTCGGCGTTTCTTGGCTTGTCTCTTGTATCCATTAAATGTAGCATCTCTTGTCACTGTCCAGCAATAGTCTGCAAGCATTGATGGGCTCAATTTGCCTTGATAGCATTCTCCATTGTTGCAATGCCCCGGTGAAATCGCTCGTCATACTCGTCGCTCACTGCTCCACATTTTGGTGGGAAAAAATCTAGATGAGAGTGCAAAAAATGTATCTTTAGTGACATGTTGCAACCAAGGCTTTTGTATGCCTTGAGGAGGTTTTCCTCCAACTCCCTGTAGTCATCTGCCCGTGTTGTTTGCGATAAAATGTGTTGGCACTAACTGGAAGGCGTTCCATGCTGTCTTTTTTTTTTTGCCACGCAGTGCACTGTCAAATGCATCATCTCAAAGAAGTGCACGAATCTGAGGACCAACAAAGACACCTTCCTTCATCTTAGCTTCACTTAACCTTGGCAATTTTCCACGGAGGTACTTGAAAGCTGCTTGTGTTTTGTCCATGGCTTTGACAAAGTTCTTCATCAGACCCAGGTTGATGTGTAAGGGTGGTAACAAAATCTTCCTTGATTCAACAAGTGGTGGATGCTAAACACTTTTCCTCCCAGGCTCCAATGACTGTCAGTGGCCAATCTATCTTGATGTAGTGGGAATCTCTCGCACGACCATCCCATTCGCAGATAAAACATCAGTACGTTGTGTATCCAGTCTGCAGACCAAGCAAGAGAGCAACAATCTTCAACTCGCCACAAAGCTGCCACTGATGTTGGTCATAATTTATGCACCTCAAAAGGTGTTTCATGTTTTCATAGGTTTCCGTCATGTGGACTGCATGACCAACTGGAATTGATTGCAAAACATTGCTATTATGCAGCAAAACAGCTCTAAGGCTCATCTTCGATTAATCAGTTAACAGTCTCCACTCATCTTGATCATGAACGATGTTGAGGGCTGCCATAACACCATCGATGTTGTTGCAGGCTACAAGATCACCTTCCATGAAGAAGAATGGGACAAGGTCCTTTTGACGGTCATGGAACTTATAAATCCTAACATCACCTGCCAGGAGATTCCACTGCTGCAGCAGTGGAATCTCCTGGTCAACTGGACTTCCATGGTGAACTGGACTTCCATGGTCAGGGGTCGGCAACCACAATAACAAGAGGAGCCATTTTTTTTCGAATTCGGTAAAAAAACCCTCTATATATCAAGAGTCGCAATGCAGTCCTTAAAGAGCCGCATGCGGCTCCGGAGCCGCAAGTTGCCATGAGGGGGCAATGATTTGCTGCCGTGTGTAATGCCAATGGAATAACTCGTGGGTAATATTCAATATTTGCACCTTATGGCGGGACCCCGGGGTCACGAATAAACGGAAGTAAAAATCCTAATTCATTTCTTCATTTTTGGCGACTCCGTCCCACTGCGCACATAAATGCCGCGACCCACCTGGCGCGGATCGTTCTGTTGTCATGTCGTCCAAGCGCAGCGAGGATGAATGCGCAGAAGAGCTGAACAAGCGAATGCACTCCATGCTCGGGTATGGGCAGGATCATAAGTGTTATTCAAAGCTGCTCAAACTGCCTACACTACTTAAGTCCTTTATTTGTCATAACGGTATGCATAATACAGTGAAACTGCTCTCTTATCTTCATTATTATTTGTGACCTACCAATGTCTGCAGCCAGGATCAATCGATGACAATCCTATTACCTGCAGATATTTAACAGATGAGATGCGTTGCACCGAGAATTCCTTCTGTTCGATAATACTTCTCTTACTCTTTGGTTCTTTCGGTAAAGTCACGTAGGTAGAAAATTTATAATAGATCATGACGTTTCGATCGCCACACAAGCAACCGTCTTCAGGTGGGAGTGAGAAACAGGCTACTGAAACAAGTCCTTATATATAGAGCCAAAGGGGGGGAGGGGGGGTTGCCGCATCGGGCAAGAGGGTGGGAGCTGGAGCTTGTGCTGAGGAGGTGGCCATTGTATTGTGAGAGATTCGCATGTCAATGTGTAGGTGACGGTATATCAGCCACCAGGGGTATAGAGCGCGCAGCAGGAGACACACAGACAGAGAAACACAGAGACACATAGATAGGGAGATACACCTAGAGAGACACACAGAGAGAGACACACACAGAGAAACACACAGAGAGGGAAACACCCAGAGAGACACACAGAAAGACACACCCACACACATAGGTTTTTTTTTGCGATTAAGCCATACTCCTCACATATCGCTCATATCAATGCAGATAAGAGGAGCGGCGACAGACTACTCTGTAGCGTAACATTGGTATAAACGCTTGTTACAATATGAACAGTGCATTAAAAACGCGTACTATTTTATGTACTGTGTACAAAGTGTGTTCACAAATCCACACTGAGAAACAATGATTGACAGAGGGGTGTAAATTATTTTTTCAATAGCGTATTTAAATAGAGATACTGCAGGTAAGTAGTTTTCAGTTTTAAAGTCATAGTTTAACAAGACAACACTTGCCACCATCCTTCAAACCCATTGGTGAAAAAGAGCAAAGTGTTTACATTATAACATGATGTTTATGCGAGAGCCGGAGGCTTATGGGACCCCGGAGTCCCGCCATAAGGTTCAATTGACAAATTTGGACCATGACGCCGGCACATATAAAGGCTTCATCTTTTGTAATGCCGTCGCATGAACGTCCACTATGAAGCAGACAATGCGTATTGTATGGTTAATACACCTGCCATATTCATGAACAAAGTGGTTGTTTGTGTATTCATCATCTATCCACTGCTGAATGAAGTCCTCCCAAAGCTATCACGCAACTCTCATTGTTTCACAATGCAACAATCCATCTAGCTGCTGCACACGAGCTGATTTCATCGCTCTGTGGCGCACGTCCTCCTTCAGTTGTCACTGTCATTAGTCTCAACCACCAGCTTTTACCAACTGACGTGTGTTTTCTGATAAATGCGTTCCTCCCTCTCTCTCGGTGTAATCCCAAGCATGTGCCTCTCCACGCTTCTTTGCGCACTTTTTAAGCAGTGCACGTTTCACCAAATTTCTAAATGTTTTCGGCATTCACATATCACAACAAAAGGACGTGAGAGCAATTTTGCAGAATGCAATTCTAAGTGTGCACGAGTCACCACCAGTAGTGTCGGCACTCCCATCGTATTTGTGTACTGTTCTAGATTTGAAGCTTTCGTGACTGCCAGGATTCATACTCTTTGTTTTTTTCGGTAAAGTCACGTAGGTAAAAAATAAAATTAAAATTAATGAAAACAACTAAATTAAATCACGACGTTTCGGAGGCAACACAAGCTTCCTTCATCAGGTGTGAAAAAGGCACAGCAAAATAACTGTAGAAAGAGGTATTTCTGGTGATAGACTGTTATATAGGGTCAGAGGAGGGGGAGGAGCCAGGGAGGACGGGCGCAGTATGGGGGGAGTGTGGGTGGAGCAAGGAAAGGAAAGAAAATGAAGAACATTGGACCCACTGATGGTGGGTGGGGGGACGCGGGGCGGGGGAGAGTATCGGTTTAGGTTTAACATGGTTAATCACATCTTTCCAATGATTGCTCAATTTGAATCCATCTTCTCGGTTGAAGTTATGTCTATGTTTGTAAATCTGTATGGCTTCATAGACGAATCCAGACGGCCTGCAGAATACCTTGTTGCGGGGCTGTGTTGGCTGATCCCCTGCCCCGGGCAGACGAGTGAGAGCGCCTAGGGATACCCGAAGTAGGCCCGACATTTATAGTTATCCCAGGTCCAAGTGAAGGACGGATAATAGAGTGCACCTACACTGGTGTGAGTGTAGGATGCAATGTGAGAACGTGTATTATTAAAATGACAACCAGCCCTTATAGTATTCCTCGTCTCCGCGTGGTTGGATTTTAATACACATGGGTAAGGATGAAAGTTACAAATCACACTGGCAAATGTGACTGCTGTATCCAGCGCTATTCTTCAGCTTCAAGATATTTTTTTAAGGAAGATTTACGACGTTCATGTCAATTTGTAAATTGCGCCCCCAGCCTGGTACCACGAGATGAAGAATCCGTTCGGAGTTCTTGCACGGGTGGTTAGCGAACTCCGCACGAGTTGCCATTATATTTCTGTGTTACCTGCCAGTCTTACTACTTGATTGGTGCATAACTGGAAAGTTGTTTTACTACGCCGCTGTGACTTTCCTTTTCTTCACCACGGTTCTCCGTGGGTCGTTCTTGTAAAACAGCCGATGGCTTAATATTTATTCCTGTCAACAAATAAAATATAATCTCACAGGGCAGTGCATCATTGTCGCTTGTGAAAGAATGGACCCGCAGAAGGAGATTTCGCGAACTTCAATTGAATCTGTCTGAATTTTTGTTTATTTTAGCAGGTCAGGCCCACTGAGCAATATAGCTTTTTTTCAATAGCGACCTGACCACAAATAATAGTTCAACGAAGTGGCTTATCATGTGATAATATATAGCAGCCAAATACTCTAAACGCATGTTTCTAAATGTGCAGGGAAAAACCGGACGACTCGGAGAAAAAAACACCCGACCATGGAGAGAACATGCGAACTCCAAATATACGGGCTTCAGGGTCGGCATTGAAACCACGACCTCCTGTATACCAGGCAAGGAAATTAACATCTCGCCACCGTGGCACCCAGGAACGACCACACAAACGGAATCAACACGATGATAACGGGAATTTTGTTGTACGGGGCCACAAATAATAGGGCCGGCAGATAAAAGGCTTGCAGATAAAAGGAGTCTTGCCGAGCTGACGGATTACCTTGCTGAGTGTATGCACCGGAGCCCGGCGGGCAGGGCGGCCGCACCACTGTGTCGTGCCGGGCCGCGGGAGCCGCCACCGCCGCTGCTGATTTGGCTGATGTCCACGCGTTGCTGTCACCCATCAACTCGTAGTCGTTCAGTTCCGGGACAATGTATGGATCCTCCTTCATGTGGCCATCCGCCAAGTCTCGTGCGCATTCACCGTGATCCCACACCCCTGGGATTTCCTGAGAAGAGACTGAATCCCCGGCAAATATGCGCGACGCTTTAAATCACAACCACGTGGTTATATTGTATATGTATCCAGCAACCGTCTTCAGGTGGGAGTGAGAAACAGGCTGCTGAAACAAGTCCTTATATATAGAGCCAAAGGGGGGGAGGGGGGGTTGCCGCATCGGGCAAGAGGGTGGGAGCTGGAGCTTGTGCTGAGGAGGTGGCCATTGTATTATGAGAGATTCGCATGTCAATGTGTAGGTGACGGTATATCAGCCACCAGGGGTATAGAGCGCGCAGCAGGAGACACACAGACAGAGAGAGACACACAGAGAGACACACAGAGAGAGAGACACACAGAGACACATAGATAGGGAGATACACCTAGAGAGACACACAGAGAGAGACACACACAGAGAAACACACAGAGAGGGAAACACCCAGAGAGACACACAGAAAGACACACCCACACACGTAGGTTTTTTTTTTGCGATTAAGCCATACTCCTCACATATCGCTCATATCAATGCGGATAAGAGGAGCGGCGACAGACTACTCTGTTGCATAACATTGGTATAAACGCTTGTTACAATATGAACAGTGCATTAAAAACGCGTACTATTTTATGTACTGTGTACAAAGTGTGTTCACAAATCCACACTGAGAAACAATGATTGACAGAGGGGTGTAAATTATTTTTTCGATAGCGTATTTAAATAGAGATACTGCAGGTAAGTAGTTTTCAGTTTTAAAGTCATAGTTTAACAAGACAACACTTGCCACCATCCTTCAAACCCATTGGTGAAAAAGAGCAAAGTGTTTACATTATAACATGATGTTTATGCGAGAGCCGGGGGCTTATGGGACCCCGGAGTCCCGCCATAAGGTTCAATTGACAAATTTGGACCATGACGCCGGCACATATAATGGTTTCATCTTTTGTAATGCCGTCGCACGAACGTCCACTTTGAAGCAGACAATGCGTATTGTATGGTTAATACACCTACCATATTCATGAACAAGGTGGTTGTTTGTGTATTCATCATCTATCCACTGCTGAATGAAGTCCTCCCAAAGCTATCACGCAACTCTCATTGTTTCACAATGCAACAATCCATATAGCTGCTGCACACGAGCTGATTTCATCGCTCTGTGGCGCACGTCCTCCTTCAGTTGTCACTGTCATTAGTCTCAACCACCAGCTTTTGCCAACTGACGTGTGTTTTCTGATAAATGCGTTCCTCCCTCTCTCTCGGTGTAATCCCAAGCATGTGCCTCTCCACACTTCTTTGCGCACTTTTTAAGCAGTGCACATTTCACCAAATTTCTAAATGTTTTCGGCATTCACATATCACAACAAAAGGACGTGAGAGCAATTTTGCAGAATGCAATTCTAAGTGTGCACGAGTCACCACCAGTAGTGTCGGCACTCCCATCGTATTTGTGTACTGTTCTAGATTTGAAGCTTTCGTGACTGCCAGGATTCATACTCTTTGTTTTTTTTGGTAAAGTCACGTAGGTAAAAAATAAAATTAAAATAAATGAAAACAACTAAATTAAATCACGACGTTTCGGAGGCAACACAAGCTTCCTTCATCAGGTGTGAAAAAGGCACAGCAAAATAACTGTAGAGAGAGCTATTTCTGGTGATAGACTGTTATATAGGGTCAGAGGAGGGGGAGGAGCCAGGGAGGACGGGCGCAGTATGGGGGGAGTGTGGGTGGAGCAAGGAAGGGAAAGAAAATGAAGAACATTGGACCCACTGATGGTGGGTGGGGGGACGCGTGGCGGGGGAGAGTATCGGTTTAGGTTTAACATGGTTAATCACATCTTTCCAATGATTGCTCAATTTGAATCCTTCTTCTCGGTTGAAGTTATGTCTATGTTTGTAAATCTGTATGGCTTCATGGACGAATCTTTGGTGGTATCCAGACGGCCTGCAGAGTACCTTGTTGCGGGGCAGTGGTGGCTGATCCCCTGCCCCTGGCAGACGAGTGAGAGAGCCTAGGGGTACCCGAAGTATGCCCGACATTTATAGTTATCCCAGGTCCAAGTGAAGGACGGAGAATAGAGTGCACCTACACTGGTGTGAGTGTAGGATGCAGTGTGAGAACGTGTATTATTAAAATGGCAACCAGCCCTTATAGTATTCCTCGTCTCCACGTGGTTGGATTGCAATACACATGGGTAAGGATGAAAGTTACAAATCACACTGGCAAATGTGACTGCTGTATCCAGCGCTAATCTCCTGCTTCAGGATATTTTTTAAGGAAGACTTACGACGTTCATGTTAATTTGTAAATTGCGCCCCCAGCCTGGTACCACGAGATGAAGAATCCGTTCGGAGTTCTTGCACGGGTGGTTAGCGAACTCCGCACGAGTTGCCATTATATTTCTGTGTTACCAGGCGGTCTTACTACTTGAGTGGTGCATAACTGGAAAGTTGTTTTACTATGCCGCTGTGACTTTCCTTTTCTTCACCACGGTTCTCCGTGGGTCGTTCTTGTAAAACAGCCGATGGCTTAATATTTATTCCTGTCAACAAATAAAATATAATCTCACAGGGCAGTGCATCATTGTCCCTTGTTAAAGAATGGACCCGCAGAAGGAGATATCGCGAACTTCAATTGAATCTGTCTGAATTTTTGTTTATTTCAGCAGGTCAGGCCCACTGAGCAATATAGCTTTTTTTCAGTATCGACCTGACCACAAATAATAGTTCAACGAAGTGGCTTATCATGTGATAATATATAGCAGCCAAATACTCTAAACGCATGTTTCTAAATGTGCAGGGAAAAACCGGACGACTCGGAGAAAAAAACACCCGACCATGGAGAGAACATGCGAACTCCAAATATACGGGCTTCAGGGTCGGCATTGAAACCACGACCTCCTGTATACCAGGCAAGGAAATTAACATCTCGCCACTGTGGCGCCCAGGAACGAAACCACACAAACGGAATCAACTCGATGATAACGGGAATTTTGTTGCACGGGGCCACAAATAACGGGGCCGGCAGATAAAAGGCTTGCAGATAAAAGGAGTCTTGCCGAGCTGACGGTTTACCTTGCTGAGCGTACGCACCGGAGCCCGGCGGGCAGGGCGGCCGCACCACTGTGTCGTGCCGGGCCGCGGGAGCCGCCACTGCCGCTGCTGATTTGGCTGATGTCCACGCGTTGCTGTCACCCATCAACTCGTAGTCGTTCAGTTCCAGGACAATGTATGGATCCTCCTTCATGTGGCCATCCGCCAAGTCTCGTGCGCATTCACCGTGATCCCACACCCCTGGGATTTCCTGAGAAGAGACTGAATCCCCGGCAAATATGCGCGACGCTTTAAATCACAACCACGTGGTTATATTGTATATGTATCCAGCAACCGTCTTCAGGTGGGAATGAGAAACAGGCTGCTGAAACAAGTCCTTATATATAGAGCCAAAGGGGGGGAGGGGGGGTTGCCGCATCGGACAAGAGGGTGGGAGCTGGAGCTTGTGCTGAGGAGGTGGCCATTGTAATGTGAGAGATTCGCATGTCAATGTGTAGGTGATGGTATATCAGCCACCAGAGGTATAGAGCGCGCAGCAGGAGACACACAGACAGAGAGAGAGAGAGACACACAGAGAGACACACAGAGAGAGAGACACACACAGAGACACATAGATAGGGAGATACACCTAGAGAGACACACAGAGAAACATACAGAGAGGGAAACACCCAGAGAGAGAGACACAGAAAGACACACCCACACACGTAGGTTTTTTTTGCGATTAAGTCATAGTCCTCACATATCGCTCATATCAATGCGGATAAGAGAAGCGGCGACCGACTACTCTGTAGAGTAACATTGGTATAAACGCTTCTTACAATATGAACAGTGCATTGAAAACGCGTACTATTTTATGTATTGTTTACAAAGTGTGTTCACAAATCCACACTGAGAAACATTGATTGACAGAGGGGTGTAAATTATTTTTTCGATATCGTATTTAAATAGAGGTACTGCAGGTAAGTAGTTTTCAGTTTTAAAGTCATAGTTTAACAAGACAACACTTGCCACCATCCTTCAAACCCATTTGTGAAAAAGAGCAAAGTGTTTGTTTACATTATAACATGATGTTTATGCGAGAGCCGGGGGCTTATGGGACCCCGGGGTCCCGCCATAAGGTTCAATTGACAAATTTGGACCATGACGCCGGCACATATAATGGCTTCATCTTTTGTAATGCCGTCACGCGAACGTCCACTATGAAGCAGACAATGCGTATTGTATGGTTAATACGCCTGCCATATTCATGAACAAAGTGGTTGTTTGTGTATTCATCATCTATCCACTGCTGAATGAAGTCCTCCCAAAGCTATCATGCAACTCTCATTGTTTCACAATGCAACAATCCATCTAGCTGCTGCACACGAGCTGATTTCATCGCTCTGTGGCGCACGTCCTCCTTCAGTTGCCACTGTCATTAGTCTCAACCACCAGCTTTTACCAACTGACGTGTGTTTTCTGATAAATGCGTTCCTCCCTCTCTCTCGGTGTAATCCCAAGCATGTGCCTCTCCACGCTTCTTTACGCACTTTTTAAGCAGTGCACGTTTCACCAAATTTCTAAATGTTTTCGGCATTCACATCACAACAAAAGGACGTGAGAGCAATTTTTCAGAATGCAATTCTAAGTGTGCACGAGTCACCACCAGTAGTGTCGGCACTCCTATCGTAATTGTGCACTGTTCTAGATTTGAAGCTTTCGCGACTGCCAGGATTCATACTCTTTGTTTTTTTCGGTAAAGTCACGTAGGTAAAAAATTAAATTAAAATAAATGAAAACAACTAAATTAAATCACGACGTTTCGGAGGCAACACAAGCTTCCTTCATCAGATGTGAAAAAGGCACAGCAAAATAACTGTAGAGAGAGCTACTTGTGATGATAGACTGTTATATAGAGTAAGAGGAGGGGGAGGAGCCAGGGAGGACGGGCACAGTATGGGGGGAGTGTGGGTGGAGCAAGGAAGGGAAAGAAAATGAAGAATATTGGAGCCACGGATGGTGGGGGGGGGGACGCGTGGCGGGGGAGAGTATCGGTTGAGGTTTAACATGGTTAATCACATCTTTCCAATGATTCCTCAATTTGAATCCTTCTTCTCGGTTGAAGTTATGTCTATGTTTGTAAATCTGTATGGCTTCATGGACGAATCTTTGGTGGTATCCAGACGGCCTGCAGAGTACCTTGTTGCGGGGCAGTGGTGGCTGATCCCCTGCCCCTGGCAGACGAGTGAGAGAGCCTAGGGGTACCCGAAGTATGCCCGACATTTATAGTTATCCCAGGTCCAAGTGAAGGACGGAGAATAGAGTGCACCTACACTGGTGTGAGTGTAGGATGCAGTGTGAGAACGTGTATTATTAAAATGGCAACCAGCCCTTATAGTATTCCTCGTCTCCACGTGGTTGGATTGCAATACACATGGGTAAGGATGAAAGTTACAAATCACACTGGCAAATGTGACTGCTGTATCCAGCGCTAATCTCCTGCTTCAGGATATTTTTTTAAGGAAGACTTACGACGTTCATGTTAATTTGTAAATTGCGCCCCCAGCCTGGTACCACGAGATGAAGAATCCGTTCGGAGTTCTTGCACGGGTGGTTAGCGAACTCCGCACGAGTTGCCATTATATTTCTGTGTTACCTGCCGGTCTTACTACTTGAGTGGTGCATAACTGGAAAGTTGTTTTACTATGCCGCTGTGACTTTCCTTTTCTTCACCATGGTTCTCCGTGGGTCGTTCTTGTAAAACAGCCGATGGCTTAATGTTTATTCCCGTGTCAACAAATAAAATATAATCTCACAGGGCAGTGCATCATTGTCGCTTGTTTATTTCAGCAGGTCAGGCCCACTGAGCAATATAGCTTTTTTTCAGTAGCGACCTGACCACAAATAATAGTTTAACGAAGTGGCTTATCATGTGATAATATATAGCAGCCAAATACTCTAAATGCATGTTTCTAAATGTGGAGGGAAAAACCGGACGACCCGGAGAAAAAAAAACACCCGACCATGGAGAGAACATGCGAACTCCAAATATACGGGCTTCAGGGTCGGCATTGAAACCACGACCTCCTGTATACCAGGCAAGGAAATTAACATCTCGCCACTGTGGCGCCCAGGAACGAAACCACACAAACGGAATCAACTCGATGATAACGGGAATTTGTTGCACGGGGCCACAAATAACAGGGCCGGCAGATAAAAGGCTTGCAGATAAAAGGAGTCTTGCCGAGCTGACGGTTTACCTTGCTGAGTGTACGCACTGGAGCCCAGCGGGCAGGGCGGCCGCACCACTGTGTCGTGCCGGGCCGCGGGAGCCGCCACCGCCGCTGCTGATTTGGCTGATGTCCACGCGTTGCTGTCACCCATCAACTCGTAGTCGTTCAGTTCCGGGACAATGTATGGATCCTCCTTCATGTGGCCATCCGCCAAGTCTCGTGTGCATTCACCGTGATCCCACACCCCTGGGATTTCCTGAGAAGAGACTGAATCCCCGGCAAATATGCGTGACGCTTTAAAGCACAACCACGTGGTTATATGGTATATGTATCCAGCAACCGTCTTCAGGTGGGAGTGAGAAACAGGCTGCTGAAACAAGTCCTTATATATAGAGCCGAAGGGGGGGAGGGGGGGTTGCCGCATCGGGCAAGAGGGTGGGGGCTGGAGATTGTGCTGAGGAGGTGGCCATTGTATCGTGAGATATTCGCATGTCAATGTGTAGGTGACGGTATATATCCGCCACTAAAGGGATAGAGCGCTGAACAGGGTTATTAAGGAAAGGCAGCGCTGAACAGGGTGAAGGAAAGGCGGGGAGATGGTCGAGGGTCGAGTGTAATGACGGTATATCAGCCACTAGGGAAATAGAGCGCGCAGCAGGAGACACACAGAGACACACACACACACAGAGACACAGAGAGACACACAGAGAGACATAGATAGAGAGATACACCTAGAGAGACACACACACAGAGACACACAGAGAAACACACAGAGAGGGAAACACCCAGAGAGAGAGAGCAACACATACAGAAAGACACACCCACACACACATAGGTTTTTTTGCGATTAAGCCATAGTCCTCACATATCGCTCATTTCAAAGTGGATAAGAGGAGCGTTGACCGACTACTCTGTAGAGTAACATCGGTATAAACGCTTGTTACAATATGAACAGTGCATTCAAAACGCGTACTATTTTATGTACTGTTTACAAAGTGTGTTCACAAATTCACACTGAGAAACACGATGATTGACAGAGGGGTGTAAATTATTTTTTCGATGGCGTATTTAAATAGAGGTATTGCAGGTAAGTAGTTTTAAGTTTTAAAGCCATAGTTTAACAAGACAACACTTGCCACCATCCTTCAAACCCATTGGTGAAAAAGAGCAAAGTGTTTGTTTAAATTATAACATGATGTGTATGCGAGAGCCGGGGGCTTATGGGACCCCGGGGTCCCGCCATAAAAGTACAGTGAGCATAGAAGTACAGTATAACAGTGTATATTGCCGCACCACCTGTTGCCCACCATGAAAACCAACAGCCCCGTGACAACCTGTTTGTACTCTTTGGTTCTATTCGTTAAAGTCACGTAGGTAAAAAATAAAACAACAAAAATCACGACGTTTCGGCCACACCACAAAGCGGCCTTCATCAGGTGAAGGGATCAGGCTGTCTCAAGGACAGCGCTGGAGTGAAACATAGCCACGCTCAGACAGCGACCTTTAAGCTGTGTGCGAAGAAACAAGGTGCCTTTACAAAGGAATTAGCATAAAAATTTGCATTTGATTGGCCGACTTAGCATAGAGGTGCGGGTGCACTTGCCGTTTGGCGCGGGGGGGGGGGGGGGAGTTTCCCTATTGATGGTGTGAAAAGGAAATTTTTAAGAGCTGCGAAAGTTTGGGGTACCACTACTTTGAAAAATATACTGTACCATTGAAAATTAGTTTAATGTTTAGTTCGATTTAGAACATCTTTCCAATGTTTTTTTCTTTGGTTCTTTCGGTAAAGTCACGTAGAATGATAATAAAATAATAAATTGATCAAATAAAATAACACAATAATATTCTCACTTTATTTTATCAATTTATTATTTTATTATCATTCTACGTGACTTTACCGAAAGAACCAAAGAAGATGAATCATTGCAGTCACGAAAGCTTTAAATCGAAATCTTTCCAATGGTTGCTTAATTTGAAACCATCTTCTCGGTTGAAATTGTGTCTGTGTTTGTAGATCTGAATTTCCTCGTGAACAAATCTCTGATGAAAACCCGTGGGTTTGCAAATAACCTTGGTATCGGAGAAAATTATATCGCGATCACCCACAGCGTTGTAACAGTGATCAGCTACGGCAGAAGAATTCGTCTTGCCGTGTTTCAAATCTGATTTGTGCTCGCGAATTCAGTCAGAGACATGTCGCTTTGTCTCCCCGATATAGCAATCACCGCAGGTACAACGCAATTTGTAAACCCCGGGGTACTGTAAGTCAGGAATGACATCCTTCACGGATGGGATCAGATCACGAATTTTGTGTACTGTATTGGACCGGACCTGGATCTTGTGTTTGTTTAGAATTTTGGAAATCTTTTTAGTAACGCCTGCTATATATGGTAGTGTGATGGTTTTGACCAGAGTATCAAGTGGTTGTTTCTGTATGGAGGGAGAAACAGCTTGGCGGATGGTACGGTCAGAGTATCCATTCCTTTTGAGGGCCAGGTCTACATGTTTTAATTCACTGGTCAGGTGGTGTTGGTCCAAAATGCACTGAGCCCTATGGTATAAAGTTTTGATGAGAGAATTCTTTTGGGCTGGGTGGTGGTGGGAATCAGGTTTCAAGTAGGAATCTGTGTGGGTGGGTTTCCTGTAGACAGAATACCCCAATGAGCCATCAGGTCTCCTCTCAAACAGAACATCTAAGAATGGTAGCTTGCCATCTTTCTCGACTTCCATGGTGAATTTGATGGCGAGATGTCTGGAACTGATGTGGTGTAGGAAAAGTTTCAGAGCTGGGAGACCATGTGGCCAAATGACGAAAGTGTCATCTACATATCTCTTCCACAGGGAAGGTCTGAGGGTGGAAGTCTGGATGGCGTCTGATTCAAATTTCTCCATGAAAATATTGGCTATCACTACCCATGGGGGTACCCTCATTTTGTTTGTAGAAGGAGCCATTCCAAGTAAAGTAGGTATTCTTGAGGCAGTGCCTAACCAGTGCAGGTGTGTCGGGGTCTAGTCCATGTTGGACCAAATTTTCAATTATTTCAGTGGTATCAGGTACTGGGACCTTGGTGAACAAAGAGACCACATCGACGCTGACAAGGATATCGTCACGGGACAGTACAACGTCTTTGACCATAGAGACCAATTGGGCTGAGTTAAGTACTGCTGAGGCGGTCTTGCCAGTGAAAGGCAGCAAGGTATCTGACAGAAAACGTTTGTGTGTGATGGTCGGTCATCCGAATGCCATCCAGGACGAGCGAATTGGCCGCAGGCCACAGGAATGGAGCCATTTTGCCGAGCGCAATCTGACTCGGCGATGAGAGGGCGCACCACTGGGTCCGAGGACCCACACGCAAGTCACGCATGCGTTTGTGTTGCAGCAAAAGGCTCACCCGGCATTGGGCTGGAACGTGAGCGGAAGTCTGCTGCTGTGCCCGGACCCTTGTCACCAACATCTTCGTCTGCACAACCGTTACAGGAAACGAGGAATGTCATTGGTTGTGTGAGAAATGAGAATTGGCCGGCCAAGGGGTGCTCGGCAGTAGAGCGAGTGGCTTGCAATTGGAAGGTTGCGGGTATTTAAATCCTGATTGAGATATGAACTCAACCGTCGAGGATCGATTAAACGAGCACCGCTTTGTGGGGAACCCAACGGTGGTTATCCAATGGAGAGACTCACCTCTGCCATAGGATCGAGGAATTCCCACCAGTAGCTCAGGCCAGTAAATAGATGGCCATCGATGCCTCAGTGTCCGATTGGTTCAAACAAATCACGTTGAATGGGAATTACACGGCACGAATTAAAAAATCACAATTTCACAGAAATTCATGATTCACTCACGGGCTTTGCTGTCCTCACACTCCTCTGCTCGGCTTAGGAGGTTTTCCAAAATTGTGCTGCAGAGTTCCTCCTCTGATGAGTCCTTGCAGTCATCGCCGTGGTCACCCAGCCTTAGCTGCTCCTCCTGCACTACCGACCACTGGATATCCTGAGCGCACACAGCACAGGAAAATCGTGCGCATGCGGAGCTCTTTTGTCAATCTACTGCTGGGTAAGGTCCTCCCGACTAGATTCACCGCCTTTATCACAAGCAAAACCCGGGAATATTTCTCAGTTCTATTATCAAAACTGTGCGTACACTAATGTGATAAAGTTGAACACACGAATACTGGTACCATATATCGGTACAAATAAATTCCTGCCACCCGAACACAGATGCCAATTTGAGGATAGTCAAACCTGCCGTCGTAAGTCGTGGGGGTTAATTGACCATACTTCTTGGCTCAGTTATTTTGTAATTTTCACCGTTTTATTCGCAACGAGTAAATGTTTACAGACCCCCTTTGTTGATAACGTTCTGGCTAGTTACGTGTGCCGCACGACGCATTTTTAAAGTGCCGTACCCCGGAGTTTTGAATGAGCTCCGTTAGGGCTGGGAATCCGTGCCGGTGGGCCAGGGAGCCGGGGGAGTCCCCGTGCCAGTTGAGAACGTTCCGGGCCGACTCGGAGCCCGGGCAGCGCAGCAGCTGTGAGGTGAGGCACCGAAGGCCGAACCGCGCCGAGAAGTGCAGCAGGGTCGGCAGCTCAGCGTCCGCGGAAGCTGCGACGCGAGAGTGTCAGTGAAGTCGGGGAGCACGGAGCATATCGAGCACACATCACAATACAATTCTTCTGCCCACCACGTAGCTCTGAAGTCTATAATACCTATTATGCTTAGCGGCCATCCATCTAAGCACCAACCATATTTAGATCTGACTGTGTCCATCCAGTGCTCACCGAACTGGATTGGCTTCCGGTTGTCAAACGAATCACGTTATAATGTCGCACTTTTTACACACAAAGTGCTTGCCACAAATAAACCACAATACCTTGCTGATCTCGTGAAGTAACATCAACCATCACACGAACTCTGTTCATCCTCGCAGCGGTTTTTGGCTAGCCACCAAACAAAGATGGTCACTGCAACGCACGTTTTCAGATACGCTTATGCGGACGTCTGGCACGCTGTTCCTTCTAATATTAGGAAGCCACTGGAGCTATACACTTTTAAATTTAGATTGAAAACTAATTTATTTAGAACCGCTTTTTGTTTTTAGTTTGTTGTCCTTCCCCACACCTCTGATTAGCATGGTTAGCTGCGTATGGTGCAAAAAAAGGTCAACATACGTACATACCAACACCTTCGCAGCCTTTCCCAATTGAGTGATCCCAAACGTGAGCACAGCTAAATGGGGGGAGGGTGTACACTTACACGAGTCTGGTTCTCCGACAGGGAACGCCTGCACTCTCGTCCCAGACAAGTTGCTCTGCAAAGACTCGGTGAGCATCTCGTCCATCTTCTCTGTGTGGCTGTGGTGCATTGAAAACGCCTGCATGCGACAGAGAACAGAACCGTCACCTCGACTGGCCAGGCAACGCCGCAGCAAGGCCGCTTGCAATGCGAATTCAAATCCTGGTCGGGAGTCGACCCAGCCTATCGCCACTAAGTAGGCAAGTCAACAGTGGTTGTCCTGTGGATATACTCTCCTCTGACATAAAAACGTGTAATTTCCACCACTGACTCAGGGATGTAAGCAGGAGATCAGCACCACCTCAGTGCCTGTTTGAGCAAAGCAATCACATTGATTAAAGTCAATAAGCGACACAGACACTAACTATTGTTTATTCCATCACCTTGCAAGCCTTCTCGACGACAGCTGGAGTTTTCACTCTCAATACCTCTTGGGACTTATTTCTGAATCCAATACTGGCTATGTAGCGTAGCTCACTATCGTTATGACGATGATGATGATGACAATGAGTACACTCGTTGTTTTCTCAGGAAGGTCTCGCCGGCTCTCAGGATTCTGTTTCTTTAATTTTTTAAGGTGGGTCCTGCTAAGTCTTTACGGTGCTTTATAATAAATTGATTTAGCGGTAATTAAAATTTTGATCTTGATGCCGGCACACAATGGTCTACTCTTCTTCAAATGACGTCCCGGCACCTTGAACGTGCACTGAGTGAAGCGGACAGACGGCGCCGAGTCTGCTGTGGTGAATACAGCCGCAGTGTTCACCGCTCAAGCAAGGCAGAGTGATTTCTACCTCCGGTTTACAGCACTGAGTCAGTGTCAGAATATCTATATTCGTATGGGGTGGGCGAGTCTATCCATAGGACATGTTACCAGGAGCATAAACCATCACAATAACTCCGTTCATTCTCGTAGTGACTATTGGATAGCCATCGAACAAAGACGGTATTGCTCGCTTTCAGATGCGCTTCTGCTGCCATCTGTAATGGTTTTCCTTCCGATATTAGGAATCCACTGGGACTATGCACTAATACATGATCTAGATTGAAAACTAATTTTTTTATATTCAGTTTGTTGTCCTTCCCCGCACCTCCGATTAACACGGCTGGTTACGTACGGTTCGATTGAAGTTCAACATACTTACACACGTACCAGTGGTTAACTGTTAATTGTTATACCGATTCGCTAAAAAGTTTCCTAAGACTTTTACACAGCAAGCGTTTGCTTATTGCCGTGGTCCGCACTCACCTGCTGCATGAAGCTCAAGGGATTGGTGACGCTGTGAAGCAGGTGGCGCAGCTGCTGTTGTGGCGAGACGTAGGTGAGCTCGCCCAGCGCCAGGAGGTCCCCTGCCTCTCCGCTGTGCACGGCTACCGTGGCGCGGCCCGGGCCCAGCTCTGTGTTGCACAACCCACGTGGGGCCGTCACCGCTCACCCTTACTCAGGCTCTCTCCACGTCGACGCTTCTGTACATCACTTGGACTCGACGTGCTTTTAGAACAGAGCCTGGTCAGTATCACCATTTCCTCTGACGGTGTAGCTCGCCGCCGCCAGGGTTTTGGGCGCATGAGTAATTTACCTTCCGTTTGTTGATGCTGTCTTGTGAGTTAAAGGTTTGTTTTTCCAGGATAAGGTGCAACGTGCTATTGAAGCCAACAGCAATATCAATAAGCAATGTGTAGTAATACCCCGATGTACGTCTCCTCCCCCTTTTACGTCGTATCGCAAATACTTTATAAATGCCACTACTTGATTTGTGTCGCCTCAACCCACACTTATGTCGCTGACAGCATCACCCGTCGTTTCTCATATCAATTTCCTCAGCCTTCACCTCCACCACCTATGCTGTGAATCGCTTTGATTTATGTCGTTTCGCTATTCGTTGTTGAACCTTTCAGGGACGCATCTACGATGTAAACACAGATGTTGCAAAACTTCCTTCCCATGCACGTCAAGAAGAAGCCATACCCTGGCTCACCAGAAGGCGGTACAGCAATTGTAGACATCGACATCTGTTCCAACCCACGCTGGGGATTACCAGGAGAAGGAAGTACAGCAAAGTGTGGACTCCAACTATTCCCTCTCTATGGGATAGCGTTTCCCCCTCCCACGCGTGGGGTTTCTCCGGGTGCTCCAGTTTCCTTCCAGATATAAAAACTCAACAATTGACCAATAACACCTTAATATATCAAAAGACCCAAGAATATATATAGAGGGCCGCAGAGTTTGAACAATTGTTGGAAGTGCCGGGTCATCGTATGGCTCCATGCTTATCTGCGGTTCCTCCTCGCACCTCTGAGTTGTTCTCTCTCTCTTTGACAGTTAAAACTGCGGTGGCGTGTGACAAGTTGACATTATTATAACCAGTAGATAACTTGTTGTATGTATGTTCAACTTGTTTTGCACCATAGGTTGCCCGCCGTGCTAATCGGAGGTGCTCTTTAATGGAAAATAAGAGACAGTTGTAATTTTATTCTTACACTAAAAATAATCATCTTTTTAATGTGTAGTGTGGTTAAATACATGGCACACACTGTTGGCCGAGGGCAACCGAGGACAAATAGGTGCGCTTGTGCAACATTAGGTTGCACGAGTACATAACTGCGGAGGGCGACTGGATGGCCTTTCGTCATCGGTTCGAGGCTGCCTACATCTCGGTGGGATGGATGCCCTGCGAAGTGCTCCGAGCTCTTCCCATGGCCCTCGACGATGACTCGCTTGCCGCTTTCTTCGCCATCCCCGAGTCGGATAGGGCGACCCTCACGCGCGCCCACACCGAGATGGCTGCAATTTATGACCCCCCATCTAATGTTCGCAGAAAATTTCATCTGCGATGACGGGGCGAGAACGAGACGCCGCTGGTGTATCGCAGTGCTCTCCTCTCGCTGGGGCACGTGGCTTTTCCGCGAATGGACTCTCTCGCCTTGGAGAGACTTCTCTCCTTGGCTAGGGAGTTGGGGGTCACCCTTGTGGTGACGGAAGACAAGGACCTAACTTCTCTGCAGGTGGCCCGTGGCATCCACGCACACCTCGACCTCAACGACTGGCCGGCGGTGGCGGCCAGTACATCAGAGCCGGCCGCGAACGAGCATGTGGGTGCCTCCTTCAACTGTGGGTTGGAGGAGAGGGGTGCCGTGCGGCGCCCGCCAGTGCGAGAATGGCGCCCCAGGCTGAGCCAGCCGCCTGGGCGCCCTTACCGTACCTGCTACAGGTGCGGCTGCATGGGACACATCACCATTGACTGCTGCCACGGGACCAGAGGGTTCCCGCCGCACCCATCCTCCAGCTTCAATGACTCCTCCTTCCGCAATATACAGGCAAGTCCGGACGCATCAGATACGCGGCCATTTTTGTCCCATCACCCATCTAGCATAGGTCGTGTGCGGAATCAGTTTGTGACATCTCATCCCGTCGCAAGTTATGCACGAGGTGCGAGTTCGGTGATGTGTTGGGCCACGCAGCACCAATCACTGGGACGCGTTGGCTCATCGGGTTGTGGGCGCCGTGGCGGGTTCTTCAACAATTGTGGGGTTGATTCCAGGGATCCAGGTTCAGTTATTAATTGACACGGGGGCCGTTGCGACGATGGTTTCCTAGACCATGTTCCCTACGTTGCCTTCGTCATCCGTTCCTCTTGCCCCCGTGGACAGCGTTTGTGTTGCGGCTAACGGGGGGAGCCTGGATATAATGGGGCAAATGTCGGCCTCTGTTCAAATTGGGGAACTCTTTTTGGAAGGTCAGATATTAGTTTCACGGACGTTAGCCGTGCCTTGTTTGTTCGACACCGATTTTCTGAGCAAGATGCCCTTGAAAATTCGAATCGACCAGGGGTGCATTGAATTACCATCGGGACAGCGATTGCAGTTTCTACATTCCCTTGGTCGACAGCTGTCGCAGAATGCTGTCATTCATGCGCTGGCTAGCCAAACCGTTAAGGTGCCTGAGGGTTCCCAAATGCCCGTACCACTGCGATTGCGTAAAGAGTTGCCTTCACCGGGGCCGGAGGAGGGGATCTTGCTTACTCCTTCTAACGTCGTGTCACGATCCCCTTCGCTGGTGGGGGCTATCATGGTTGTATCTGCCGAGCAGATGCCGTATCTGCAAATACTGAATGCGGGACACGCGCCGGTTGGCGGGTACTGTCCTGGCACATGCTTCGGTGGCCCATTGTTTTGATGATGCGGAGCTGGCTCGTGTGGTTGCGGGAATGTGGAGAAGCCTGATGTGCCAGATTCTGCGTGGCTGGAATCTCTGTGCTCCGAGAACCCGGCACTTACGGTAGTTCAGCGAGCTCAGCTGCGCCGGCTCTTGAACGATTTTTTTGGATGTATTTAGCACTGGCAAATTTGATATTGGGAGCACTTCTCTCCTCCATCATCACATCAATACGGGCGATGCACCCCCAATTTGGATTAATTCGCATAGACTCAGCCCCGCTGAGAAGGAACAGGTATGCCTGGCTGTCGATGAGATGCTGGCAGCGGATATTATTGCCCCATCCAATAGCCTGTGAGGTGTGCCCATAGTCCTAGTGAAGAAGCGTGATGGGAACTCGTTTTGATTTTTGCAAGCTAAATAAGATATTGGTGGCAGATGCGTATCCCCTTCCTTGGATGGACGACTCGTTCGATGCATTGTTGGGCACGCAATTCTTTTCGACGCTTGATTCATTATCTGAATTTTGGCAATTGCCCCTCAATGACGAGTTGAAACCAAAAACTGATTTTTGTATGCCCCAAGGCCTCTATCACTTCAATTGCCTTCCGATGGGCTTGAATATGGTGCCAGCCACCTTTTAGCGGTTAATGGAATTGGCCATGGCAGGGTTGCAATGGGATTCTTGGCTTATATATTTGGATGACATTATCATCTTTAGCAAAACCTTTCACGAACATTTACAGTGATTGCGCTCGGTTTTCGAGAGAATTGAAGACATCGGTTAAGTACTTGGGTCATATAGTTAGCGCGGCCGGTGTCGCCACAGATCCGGAAAAGACCTCGTGTGTACGCACGTGGCAGGCGCCTAAGTCGGTGGCTGACGTCCGCAGCCAAGGCCCAGAGATTTCGGTGGGATAAGGCCGAAGAGGAGTCCTTCCTCGCTCTCCGTGCCGCACTCGCCGATGCGTATCCCAATTTCGCAAAGCCCTTCATTTTGGATACAGACGCCAGCGATACGTGCATCGGGGCAGTCCTTTCCCAACTTGTTGAGGGCACAGAGAGGGTGGTTGCATATGGTAGTCGAGTCCTGTCTCCGGCTGAACAACGCTATTGCGTCACGCGCAGGAAATTACTAGCCATGGTCCATTTCATTCAACTCTATCGTCCTTATTTGTATGGACGGGACGTTGTCGTCCACACGGACCATGCGGCCCTCCAGTACTCCCTGTGCATCGACCAGCCATTCGGGCTCGAAATCCTCCAGGGATTCTCGTTCACAGTGGTGCACAGGAAAGGCACCCGGCACGTCAATGCTGACGCCTTGTACCGATTACCGCCCCATGTCGCGTGCACATGTGCCTCGGGCGCGTCGCGATGTAAGCCCTCACAAAGGGAGGCGCCCATGGTGCTCACGGTGGCCGGGACAACGCAGGAGACTGACGCTCAGTCGCCACGTGATTCTATTCTGGATCTCGACCATGATGAGACGTGGGCTAAGCTGCAGGTTGATGACGCCTTGCTGTTGACGTTGCGCCATCGTGCTTCTCGGGGACCAGGGCCCGTGGGTCGCCCAACCATTGTGCTGCGTGAAGGATTCCTCATGCGTTGGGAGGGGGAGTCACAGCGTTTTTCCTTGATCATACCCAGAGTCCTTTGGGGTAAACTTACAAAAGCTGTGCACGAGAAGTTAACGCATCTGGGTGTGCATAAAACGTTGGAAACGTTGAAAAAGGACTTCTACTGGCCCGGCATGGAGAGTGATGTCCTCCTCCTGATTAAAGGCTGTGCCGATTGTGCGCGTCGGAGATCTCCCACCCTGCGTTCGTGGATTTCGTTACAATCCATTGTTGTGTCACGGGTGAATGAATTGGTGGGCCTTGAGATTTTTGGTCTCTTTCCAGTCTCAAAGAGAGGGCACAAGTACCTCCTTGTTGGGATCGAATACCTGACTCAGTGGCCTATGGCCTGGCCCTTGGTTGACCAGTCGGCCGCATCTATAGCTGGCGCCTTTTTGAACGGCTATGTCCTAGATAAGGGAGCCCCGGAGCAGCTACTCGCAGATTAGGGCAGGAATATCTCCTCCAAGTTGCTCCAGGAGGTGTGCAAGTCCTTAGGCAAGCGGGAAAAAAGGCACCTCACCATATCATCCGCAGACTGACAGGATGGTTGAGCAGTTGCATAGAACCCTTACCACCATGCTATGCCAGCAAGTGACTGAGGGCCAGGCGGATTGGGATCT